GGAGGTGATTAGGAATTAAAAATTTAAGACTACATGACATTATGTTATGGTCCAGGCAGACACTGCTTGTAACAATATCGTCTTTGTATGTAAGGCTCATTATTATAACTGTGTTTTAGAAGAAATTATTTGGTTTTAATTCTACGTCTGGAAGTCCAACTGATACCCTTCACTTTCACTTTCTACTGATGGAATTCTCAGTGTTTAATACTTTATCATTCCAGTCAACAAATGTGCCGGAGTTCTGTGCTACAGCATATTCTTGTATATACACTTTATACAACCATTCCTCACGATAAATTAAAAACTGTAGGCTTTTTGATATCATAGACAACTGCTTCTTTAATGAAATGAAACATGGAAATTTTCGTTTCTTGAAATTGCAATTGGTCATCAACATACATGTAATTACTTTGTTAAAAACAACTCTGATTCTACACAACAATACTCTGAAATTGATAATAAAAGGATGCTTGAGTACCTTATTGACATTTATGTAGTCTTCTAAGATCAGGTCTTCCAATAAGCTCTTTGAACACCGATGGACCCTAACTGTGCTCCTTTATTAGCCGACCTGTTTTTATATTCCTAAAGCAGAATTCATCACTTCAAACTTCTACAGGAGAAGAAGAAAACATATGCTGGGCATTTTTTCTCGACATTCAAATATATCAACGACCTTTTATCAATTAACATTATTTATTTCCATTCATTCTCGACATATCCCAGCGAACTTGACACCACAGGATCTGCAACATGTGCTTTACATTTGGATGTTTTTCTGACTACAGATGATAAGGGCCTACTAACAACTTAACTGCATGAAAAACGATATTGCTTCAGTTTTACAATTGTCAACTTTCCTTATTTACGTAGTAATATTATGATTTCACCTGCATATGGTGTTTACATCTCCCAACTTATTCCATACTCATACGATAAATTTTTAAACCGAGGCATGCTATTGACAGATAAGCTGATGTTACAGAGATTTCAACAACCTCGTTTAAAGTCAGCATTTTGTAGATTCTATGGTGGTTATAATGACCAAGTTAACATTTGATTCGTATTTGGCTGATGTGTTTCATACCAATTATAATGCCTTTGTTTTTATACTAAATTTGACTAAGGAATGTTCCGTCTACCTGATCAATACATAGGTCTCACCGGCGGGTGTGAATGGTCAACAGGGGTGCTTACTCCTCCTTGGCACCTAGTCCCATGTGACGGTTCATATTGTCGTTCTGTACATATTGTCATCGACGACATGTACATACCCTCACTGCACATTTTGTCTTCCATCAATACATATTGTCGCCGGCTGAGATACTGTTGCTTAAATTTTTTTTGTAGTTTTGTGAATGTAATCGTTGTTAATCACACTGACGTGGTGTCTCGTATGTTATTTCACGCAGCGCGACTGTGACGCTACATATTGTCGTCCTGTTCATATCGTCGCCGGCGGCAATGTGTACTTGTACATATTGTCGTCCATCGGTATACATATATGTTGCATGACTAATGACTAATCATTGTTTCGCTGTTCTTGAGAAGATTTTTCAAGAATTTCCTATATATGTAAAACTTTGATCGCCCATCGTGGCCCTAACCTAGCCCTGGGGTCATGATTTGAACAAACTAGCTAAAAATGTCGACCCCAACCACAATCATATCGGCACATGTATAAGAATAACGAAAAATATTTACCAGATAGTCAAAAATTTAACGTTCAATCTCCAATATATATATATATATATATATATATATATATATATATATATATATATATATATATATATATATATATATATGAAAAATATTCAAACATATATATGAAAAATATTCAAACATTTAAAAACAGAACGAGTAAAACATAAAAATAAAACGTAAAGCACAAAATAATACAGTAACAAAGAAATAAATGTGACTCAGTAAACTATTCTACATGTATAAAATACAATTCTTTTACGTTAAACTATTTAATTTAGGTTTGAAAGTCCTTATAAATTTTTTTTTATCTCGTCTTTCAATTTCATAGGAGTTGTACAATTTATAAAATGGAAAGACAGTGAAAGTTTTATTTCCGCATAAGTCTAGGTGTTCACTAACTTTAAGTTTACGGTATTCCGGCACGTTAATTTGTTGTTTATGGACTCGGATCCTCTCCCGCAAGGTACTTCCCGTCTCTCCGATATATAATTCACCGCAACCAGAACATGTTATAACGTATATGACGTTTCTAGTTTGGCATGACATGTTATTATAAACTGTAAACTGTTTTCCACTAAAATAAAAATGTTGTCTTTGTTGTATGTACAACGCGGATCCTGGCATTTGGTCACATGAAATTCTGTCGTTTCTTTAAAATAGGACTTAGTGAGAATTCGTCTAAGATTCTTCGGCTGCCTCCTACTGTTTATGAACTTTCGATTTTTAAATATTTTATACATAGTTTCATCGGTTTTCAAAACGTCGTTTAGGTGATAAACAACTGGTGCAACGTTTTTATTTTGGGGATTGTGTGTCGTTATTAATGGTAGGATCTTGGAATTTGTCCTGTTTTGTTGCACAGGGTTGAGGGGTCCTTTCTTTCTAATTCTGTGGCTTTTTTAAAAGCATCACCAGTAATTTTATCTGGATAGCTTTGTTTCCGTAGATATTCTCTAAGTTCTTGTAGTCTTTATATTCTGATTGATTCATTATTAACGATGGTGCATATTCTCCTCGCTAAATTATAAGGTATAGCTCTTTTCGTATGTCGTGGATGGCATGAATTAAAATGAAGATACTGATGCGTATCTGTAGGTTTGTAATAGATATCTGTCAAAATGACGTCGTTTTCCTTAATTAACAAAATATCCAGAAATGGAATTCTATCCGTACTTTCTTCCGCTTATATCAGGATTAAGTTCTTTCAGTAATGTTTTAAAGGTAGACAATTCGTTGTCGCTGAATTTCCATACAATAAAACAATCGTCCAGATATCTTTTCCAGTAGTTAGTAATATATTTTTTTTACATCTTCGTTGAATTGTTCTCCCACTTAATTTTTGATACATTTTTTTCTTCTAAGTATCCTAATGTTAAGGTGACATATGTCGAAGCCATTTTTGTGCCCATAGCCGTGCCTTTTATTTGTTAAAAATGTTTTCCATTAAACGTGAAAGTATTATTTGTCAGCACTATTTCTGTTGCTTCCAAAATAAAGTCTCTTGAAAATCTGCCGTTGATTTTTTTTAGGATTCTTACTGATCCAGTATTCCACGGCTTCCAGTCCTAGGGAACTTGATATATTACTGTACAAGCTTATACATCCAACGTAACGAGCTTGCTGTTTATATCAACTTTCTCTGGTAAATGACGGAGAAAATCAAAGTCTTCTTGTACATAACTTTTGACTCGAGAACATAATGGTTTTAGAAGAATGTCTAGTAGATTACTAAGTCTTTGCGTTGGTGCTGATGGTCCTCCTACTATTGGTCAGAAAGTGAGATCGTCTGGATAAGGACAGGTTATGTATTCCGAGCACTTGGATTTGATGGCATATTTTATTTTTCTAGATTTATGAATCTTTGGCAGTCCACAAAAATTGCTTTTACTATATTCATAATCAATTAAAAAGTCATATATAAATAAATATATATATATATATATATATATATATATATATATATATATATATATATATATATATATATATATATATATATATATATATATATATAACGAAAAAAAGAATTGGCTTATTCTTCAACAAAATATATCGGCGAAAAAATGTGTAAATGATTACAGTACGTATTGTCGCCGACGACAATATGTGCCGATGCGTGACTGTACATTTTGTCGTCCACTATGCAGGAAAAAAAGAGGCTCGTCTCAGCACATATTGTCTTCCGTGATAATATGTACCATTGGGCGAAAGTATGTGCCTTGAGGGTAGGTACATATTGTCGAGGACGACAATATGTACAGAACGACAATATGTACCGTTACATCCCACCTCTGAAATTTCCGGAAGGGGGGGGGGGGGTCATTGTTTTTTACCCTGTTCAAATTTGTATTTCTGTACTTTTTTTGAGATCGATCTCTGTTCGTTATTTTCATCTTTTTATGATACAGGCATAGCTGCAGCGTAGATATTTAGACAAGTTTAGTTTGAAAGCAGAAGAAAGTCTCATATTTATGCAGAAGACCAAGTTTGATTGAAAGTCTAATATTTTTCAAGAATACTATAGAATTTTGTTATATACCGAGTATGTCTTCATAAATAATACATTTTTACAGAATTGTTTGACATTCTTTTTAATTTCCCCTATTACTTTCAACAGATACATAAATATGATTCGCAACTCCGTCATCAACATGTTTATTCACTGAAGTACGTGAAGGTCCCAGCAATAACTCTTCAATGGTTGTATATTTCGATGAAAAGATAAATAAATATCAATATAATTTAATTTTATATGGTTGTATGATTTAAAGAAAAAATAAATATTGATTATTAATTGCAAACTAGGCGAATCAGAGAGGTCAATGATAGGAAGTTGGCAAAATCTTGGAGATACAAAGGATACACATATAAAGGATACAAATATCAAGAATGTTTCATGAAAAGTGTCAATTACATGTCCCTTTATATAAAGTACAAATACATGTAAGACTCCAAGCTTATCATTGTCATATTCTCCATTTCTTCATTAGTACATACGCACGCATGGTAAAATTAAACACATTTAGTGAAATTTAATTATCTTGTTTACTTGCATATCGGTCTTCCAGAATCGAAAGAGTAGTAGCATATACATGTTATTGTAAATGGAAGTACATGTACTCAGTTCCTGGAAAATACAAAATTCCTATTAACAACTTGAACACTTAAATGCTTAAATGTATGATCCGGTAGTTATAGTGGGCTCCTTGAAAAGTGTGGATAAGAAATTTTGTTGTTACAGACAGTAAAAGGTGAAAGTCCAAGGTCAGAAATTTATATATTGCACACCGTTTGATATTTGGATATTTTATTACAAAAAGACGTTAATGGTAATACAACAAACAGAACTTTATGATGATTTAAACTTTTCTATCGTCAACTTCCCTTATTATCTTCCCCAAACGAAGTTTGGAAACATATTGTTTTTACTCTGTTATACAGAATACATGAATTTTAATTCTATTGTCATACACATGCATCAGTATAAAGCAGACATAATATTATATATTTTTTCATCTAAACTTTCTTTGCTCAAGAATTTAATAATGATATAGGCAATAGTGTTTTCATTTGCTTTGAATTGTGATTACAAATAATAGAGTATCGTGTAATACCAACATTGTACTACAAATGTAATTTTACATGATTATATGGACAATTAGACATGATTCCAAAAAATGTACTCTTTATCATTAAAAAAAGTAAAACAAATACTGGAGTCCCTTAGAATCCTTCTGAAAATTGTTTTAAAAATCATTATTTCATCCAATTTGTCACTTCAACTTGTGCAACCTTTATTCGTGGTAGCCCATTTAACACCGGATTAAACATTCTGTACTTTCGGAGAAAAAAGTTTCTTATGATTCTCTGATGTAAATATTACCAGAGTCCTTACGATACATAGCATTTTCAAAACCAGATGTTATTTCTGCTGGAGGTGGAGTGGAAAGCTTTTGTTTCTTGAAGACGAAGGCGATAGCTACCACAGCAAAAGCCAGAAGCAGAAGTCCCACAACAACACCAATTATGGCAAACGTGAATTTAGGTATTTCTGCAAAATTCATTGACACTAATACATTTCTTAATAAGTTAATCATTTTAACAGTTTTTGGAAAATTTAAAAATAAGAGAATATATTAAAAATATGTTCATTTGTACGTTCTCTTTATTGCAAAAATAATTGTATAATCTTAAACAATAATTTCGGAGATACAGTTTTAAAGTCATTTTACTGTGACAAGATTTTAATTCCAGTTAATTTACCTCTTCGAACATTTTTAAGAGATAGAGAAAGAGAACTTCTGTATCTTCTCAGAATAAACGTACCGAGTTGACCAGAACTGAACTTTTACATGCTAATAGCTTCCGATCTCTGAATTTTATTTTTACCTGTTTTGCTTTTAATCTGAGACGATTGCATGATACCAGCAATGGTTGAAGAGAAAGTGCTATTGTCAGAACTTGAACTATTATCAACATCTGCTGATGTAGACGGGAAATATACCGCAGTTGTTGCACTAGTTGTAACTTCTTCCCCAGATGAAACTAGAAAAAACATTGTACGCGTAAAATTTATTTTCAATATAATGTAGTTGTTACTGTGGCTCAAAATTCAATATATATATAAATTAAGACAACAAGTTTTATCTCTGCACAAGATATAAATACACGTTCATGTTTTGATACTATGAAGTATGTTACTTTTAACATATATACAAAATATTCACTATTTTTAAGGTTCTATCCCGGGTCAAAATGAAATTTCTTCATTTTTAGCAAGATAAACAAATTAACATGATAAAATGATAATAAAAATAAAAAATACTGATAAAGTACAAATAAAAGCTAGTGAACTGTATTCATTATAAACCTTTGTTTTGCCTGTCAAATTATTACCTTCATCTCTACAAACAAATCCTCGACTCTGCCTACAAGAAACCTTTGTTTAGCCGATCAAATTTTTTCCTTCATCTCTACAAACAAATTCTCGACTCTGCCTATAAGAAACCTTTGTTTTTTCAGTTATTACCTTCATCTCTACAAACAAATCCTCGACTCTGCCTACAAGAAACATCATTCCAAGTACCGGTAGTAGCCATTTCCACACACTCTTCGTTTTGGCTAAAGAGACTGTCACTAGGTTCATTGGTATTCCAGTTAGTATAATCCACGGTGCTTTTGTCTGACCAGTAGAAGTTTACTGAAAAGAAAATCGAGACATTAGGGGTATAAGCCATCATCGCAGATATATATGCTTTTTATCTGTTCACAAATTGGTGATATGAAAATGGTAATGCCGTTTGCAACGTATTTTACATCTGTAATTAAATCTGTAACATGACTTTTTTATTTCAGAAATAAGAAACGGTGTAGAGTAGGCATGTATGATACTCACAATATGACCACATGAGCTAGCTCATTTAGCTTTCAACTTAAGACATATTGATATATTGGTGGAATATATATATATATATATATATATATATATATATATATATATATATATATATATATATATATATATAGATTATGGAATGCTCAACTTGAACCCTCAGCTAAATAATTGTATTGAGTAGATATTTTTGAACAAGAACATAACTTATAAATTAATTGCAAATAGCTTTTTTGATAATTGTAGCCACGATTTACCTTCTCCGATTGGATCTAATGGCAATCTTCTTCTTGAAAGTCCGATCCAAAAGGAACTTGTCGCACCCTGTCGGATTGCAAATTCTCTGACGTGTTCCATCTCGACGGCTGAATGGATAGAGGCCAGAGTCATGCCAAGATTTTGGCAAATATGCTGGGCGTCTGTCCATGTCCCTTTTTGCTTCATTTCTATGTAATAACATGCACCATTGAAAGCCATGCCTGTTTTTGGACACTCAAGAGGCGCTGACAGTGGTAGCTTTCCTAAATAAAAGAAATACTTTCTTATGCAAAATTTTCGAAGCATATTTAAAGGGTGTGAGAGAGAGAGAGAGAGAGAGAGAGAGAGAGAGAGAGAAATCTCATTTCATGTGCATATTAAAACCTGGTTCATCGTTTTTGAAGAACTAAACCCGTTAACAAATATTCGAAATCGACTTTAATATCGCGGCTTGTTTCAACGGTGATATTTCATTGATCCAAACAGCCATTTATTTATAATTTAAAACAAAATATAGGTTTAACCTTATCTTTAATTTATATATCAGGGGATGAATCCTCATGTATAAAGAAGGTATAAAGATAGATAATCTGTGCAAATATCTAATTTGTCCGAAAAATTGAGTTATTCGTCCAAACAAATTTCTTATTTGTCCGGACAAATATCTATCTAATTTGTCCGAACAAAAAACTAGTTTGTCCGAACAAACAACTAATTTGTCCGAACGAATATCTAATTCGTCAATACAAATATCTAATTTGTCCGAACGAATTTCTAATTCGTCCGAACAAATATCAATTCGTCCGAACGAATTTCTAATTTTTCCGTCCAATTAACTAATTGTCCGAACGGATTTCTAATTCGTCCGAACAAAAATCTAATTCTTCCGAACAAATAAGTATTTTTTTTTTATCCGGCCCTCCGGCGGTGCCGTGCTTCAGAAATCAAATATTATTTATAATATAATATTTTTGATTTGTTTGACGTTTTACAGAATTATGTATCAAGATTATTTCTCGACTGTTTTCAAGATTTTTGTTATCATGAAAGGTCTACATCACTGTTCGTTTCGGGAACTACTGCTGCACCGTAAGTACATCGTCATCAATCCACGTTATCTTTATGTATATCTTCTTTCCAAAATAGTCGAAAATTCCATGTTATATTAAGTCAGGTAACGTTTAAATTCATATGTATATGGTAAGCAGAAAGGCTTGAATAATAATATTAGTTTCAGATTTGTGAAAAATATGATGATTAAAAAAATTAAGTTTAAGTAAAAAGAAAAAAAAAGAAATTAAATTTGTACTAGCAACTATCATTAATGCAAAATAAAAAAAAAAACTGGAATTTTGGGGGGCTTGAGCCGGAGACCTCAAACATATAGAGAGTTCAGCGTAAACCACTACGCTACGCAGACTTTTAGCTAATCATGCGTCTTTTATGTATATATAACCCCGAGTTAGAGTCTTTAGGAAAACAGGATAACTGACGTATATTATCAATTTTTAATATGAAGACCAAGTTAAACCAAAAAAGATTTTGCATATAACAGTACACTATGATATCAAAAGAACACAGCCCCTTCAAAATGTCTCTGGTTTAAGTTGGTTCAAATACATAAATTTCAAGTTTTTAAATGTTCACTTGATATTTCTCCATATATCCCATAGAAATTCTGTAAATTTCATTAATCTTGTTTGAGATAATTCGGACTATTTTTGCCAGGTATTAGTATAATTTGTATTTGTTTACAGGTAGATTTATTTGATATCGTAAAACAATGGAATATTTTGAATGTTTGTAAATGCGCTATATTGTATATGCATGGCCGTAGGAACCGGGGGTCACGGGGGGGTGGGGGTGTGCCCCCCCCCAATAATTTTGCCGATATATAGAATACTGTAGAAAACTTATCTACTATATGCCTGTGCCCCCTCAATAATAACGTCTGATGACTTTTTTTTTTTTTTTTTTTTTTTTTTTTTTTTGCTTGTCAAGAAATTTTGGTAGTTGATAGTGCCCCTTTCAACTGAAAATGTATGGTTGTGCCCCCTCAAGGTGAATTTGCTTCCTACGGGCCTGATATGCCATTTGGTATACTAAGTGCGCTGATACCTAAAAGTTTACAATTAAATCTTGATGAAGTCTTCATTTGTTCCAGATTTTATTCTTATCATCCGAAAACTGAACTCTATCAAGAAATGCTTTTTTCCCTGTTTAGTAACGGCCAACATTAGTTGTTCTTGGAAATCAGAAGGCATTGATATACGCATCTTGATATAATCTACACATATGAACTACGTTTCATTGAAATAAAATAAAAACATTAAAATGTAGCAATATTTCATAATATATATTTTAACGATAACAAAAAATATTCCCTTTTGACCTCTGCTAATAAATCAGACAAAAACTAAAAGAGAATAGTACCTTGAAATGTTCTATATTTCATGTGCCTAAAACATCGTTCATAGAAATTTTAAAAATTTATAATTTTTTGTATTTTTATGTAGCCCTATTGCGTAGTTTTATTGAAATATAAAAAGGATACTGTAAAATGGGTATTCAATAAAATCACTTAAAACATTTTCGTGGGGGTCAATTTTCGTGGTATGAAGAGATCCACGATTTTGTGTTCCCCGGCACGTGTAAAATTTGAAATACTAACACTTCTTCAACCACTATATTTAATCCCAAAGAACCATTTATTTTTTGTTAAACCACGAAAACTTGACCCCACGAAAATATGTAATTTCCTAGTCTATGGCACTTTGATCAGTGTTTTCAAACAAACTGATGAATGTATCTTAACAAACTTTATCTGGTATTTAATTACTTAATTACAAATTAATTCGTATTTGCAATGGCATTAATAAAAAGGATATTGACGAGAAATTTATTCCTTGAAAAAGAAATGGCTTGGCTAACATAATGTTTTACATAATAATGAAATAAAGCTACCTAAATTCTTTTCACACAAATAAGGAAGATTAATTTTACAGGAACGGTCTTGCCATTTGTTGTTATGCGATAAGACACAATCCTCTCCTGGTCTCTGTGATGGTTCCGACTGATTCCAATTAGAATAAAGGTATGGCAGGCCATTGCTCCATTGATAAAGGTTTGAAGCCTAAATGTAGAAAATAACCGTGCAGTGACAATAAGTTAAGTGTGTATAAAAAAAAAATAAATTTGATCTCTGAAATGAAAGGGATCTGATCATAAACATACATTTGATTTCCTTAATCCAATCCAAAATGTCGTCATATTAAATTGTAGTGCAATGGCTTGAATGTAGCCAAATTCATAAACAGTGGAAATAGCAGCAAGTGTTCCATTCTCGAGTCTACAATGATGATCAGCTGATTCCCAGTCCAGTCTGATGTCATTGAAGAACCGATAACAACTTTGTCTGTTCTGTACGTAGTTTGGCGGGCACTGTGACGTAACATGTGTCGCAATGGAGGGATCTTGGGGAAGAACATGAAACATTTGTTTTGATTTTTTTTATACATCTTAAGTTATATCAATCGTCAGCTTTTAGGAAGTTTTGTCATAACTTCTAACTTCAAAACTATTTATTACAATTCAATTTTTACAGCATATTTGAACAATGCAAAGTATAAAATAGGATATTTAGAAGAAAATTCTTCATATCTACAAATTTGTTAAATTTAATATCTTGGAATTCTAACCCTACATATCTATACTCAGAGATTTATTTTTTCGTTATTAAACGCTATGAATATTAAATATAAGTTAAATTGATAGTTTTAGAACAAATTTTACACATTCACTCAAAAGACTTTAAAAATATATTAAAGAAATCAAGACAAAATTCACAGGTTTTTTTTTGCCTGAAATCACATCTTTTAACAAATATCTTAAAGTTCATTATTTTAAACTACACGATAATTCTAATCAGTTAGCACTAAAGTCATAAAAAGCTTGATAAGGGAAAATATTTTATTGCCTATTTATATTTTTAATACCCCAAATATGATTCTTTTTTTAGAACAAAAATTTCACACAATATTTATGCGCATTAATTTGCAGGATTTTTTCAATAAATCTTATTAAAACTATTTTACATAAAATAAAATTATATTAATTGCCATGATTAAATCTGGTAAAGTATGATTAAGGTTAAAGTTATAAACCTAAAAGTAACAATTTAAGTGCAAAAAAAATTCACGTTCATTGTATCGTTGCTTCGTAAGATTCACACTGACCCCCAATTTTCTTTGCGATTTTGAGTCTTGCTGAATGAGTAGTTATATATATATATATATATATATATATATATATATATATATATATATATATATATATATATATATATATATATATACTTTTCAAAAAATTATTGATGAAACTCATGTCAGAAATGACATACTTAATCGTATTTGTAAGTTATTCAAGGTCACAAAATTAAATTACAAGTCTTCTGATGACACTTTTATTGCCGTTCTTTGAAAAGCTTAATAATACCAATGCATACCAGTATATATTTTAACATTTTAAAAACAATGTAAAAATAAATGAAAGATATTTGCTCAAATAAGAACACCAATTTACTATAAAAAATATACAGTCACATATATTTCAGTTACTATTATAGTTACAATATATCTTAGTACTCACTAGTACCTTTTAGCGCTTCACAGATATAACCTTTATATTGCGAACAATGTACCGTTTTCCACTTTCCTACATTTAGCCCATATTGACTCTGCATTTCGACACATGATCTCTGAAAAAAAGAAATTTAAGTAAACAATCCATTATGTATTGCTAACATCACACAATCATAATTTTGTATATTGAAATCAGACCATTGTATTCCGAAAGAATGCAGCGTGAGCCCCTCCTAAATACTGATTCTTAATATACAGAGGAACAAAAGGAGGGAAGCTAGAAGACAAATCTCAAATAGGACGCAACTTGGAATCTTTGCGACTGGACTGTGGATCAAGTGTTTTTCACATGTATTTCAGCGATATGAAAATAAAATCGAATAATTTTATGTCGTAAGCGACGCATGCATTTCCAATTATTACGTGTTTATTTGTTTAGGAATGTCCAAAATGACTAACTAAACACCGAAATCAACTGGTGGATGTCAAACGATGTCAAAGCAAAAATATTTCAGGAATAACATTCTTTAACATATACATGTAAGAGACGGACTCTCATTAAAGAAAACCAAGAAACAAACACATTAAGTTCAAATATCAGGGCTTTGAAAATTTAAACAACTGGTATCCAGGCAATACATTGAAGAGAGTTTCTTTGCTACAATAAATTGTCCAAGACAGAAGTCAGAATGATAACGGAGTTCGTGCAGAAAAGAGGCGTATTGGCTTCACTCCAACCATCTTTTTCATCCCACCATTTTAAAAATGTCCACCATAATTCAGAAGTCTCTGATGATACTGTAGCTCTGTTTGTTTATACTTGTATAGTTGCACCTGAACTAGATTTTTTAAAGTTTTATATACTATTATGCAGAATGATAAACCCAGATGATTTCTAAGCTTGTACCAAAATAAAAATAAAATTAAACATAATCTGTAGAAGGAATAGCATTCAGAAATGGTTTTACAGATCATTTTTTAAACAGCCAAGAAAAAATCTTGAACAATTAAGAAAAGTATGAGTTTTGGTATATTTCGTCCACTTGTGCACAAGGTTGTACAGTGTATTTAAATCAGACAAAACTGAAAGAGTAGTGTTATGATTTTTATGGACAAACATACAGACGACAGACACTTTATCATCGGATGAGCTCTCGTGATATTTGACAAGTAGAGCCAAAATACAAAAAGGGCATTTACGTAATACCTTTTCTTGAAATATCATGGAATTCTTAGAATTGTAGATACTGAAAATATTATACGCCTAAAAAAAAATTCTAAAAGTTCAGTTCATACGAAGAATTATATTTTCATGAAGCTTCAAATACAGTGGAAATAGTTATGTCAGGATTTGAAAAATAATAAATAATAAATTTTTAGATTGTTTGTATATTGCTTTACGTCCCATTCGAGAATTTTCACTCATATAGAGACTCACCATATAAATGTACCGCTGAAGGGCTTTAAATTTTGACCTTTACTCGGCACTCAGGGCCAATGAGCAGTGAGGGATCTTTATCGTGCCAACGCCTGCCGTGAAACGGGGCCTCGGTTTTTAAGGTCTCATCCGAAGGACCCGCAACTTTCACTTCGAAGTGCCGAGCGCATGGCGAATGAACAGTTGCTACCCATTTTTTATCGACTTAGGTCAGTCGCGGCAGAGATTCGAATTCACGACCTCCCGATCACGGAGCGAGGACTCTACTGACTGAGCTACCGTGAACGGTAATAACTTTTAGAAGGGTGTGGGTTGTGGTAAAAACCATCGAATGTTTTTATCCATGCAATATTATATTAAGAATAAACCAGAGTTTGATGTGGCAGGAGATGCTACTTAGAGGCGGAAGGATAGCATTCAGTTGACATATGATGAGAATATCAGTTTTCTAAATCATATAAAGATGAGCAATATGAATAGTGAACAGGATACAAACATGCTTCCCTGGACACAACAGTGGGATCAAGAGCCTAGGAGGAAGCATCCCCTGGTCGCACCCACTGGAGTTCACGATTTTGATCTGGTAACTATTAACTAAATGAGCATTTTTGCCATTTACTTTCTCACAGATGCAGTCGGGTCCCTTCGCTATATACCAAGTATAGAAATACGCCAAATATTACAAAAAATTCAGTCGGATTCTATTTTACCGATTGTGTTGGTTCTCTGAGATCCCAGTTTGTATAGGTTACTTCTTGATTATTTTCCCAGAGATATTTGTTACCGAACCTCCTCAGTCCAATCCATAACGTCTGTTTTGTCTCCTTCAGCAGACCAATGACAAAATCTGGAATTAAAAAAATCAATTCTAAAATATGATAAGTCGTTAAATTGTTTTATAGTTTTATTTAATTAACAGAAAATGGCATATAGCAGGCTCATATTTTTCATTAATTGCTATTTCTCAACAATGTAATACTGTTAACGTACTTATTTTAGGGGTAATAATATTTTAATGTTTTCCCGGTGCTTCTTGACCACTAATTCATGTTCTCGCTGGCGGGAAATTGCGCTAAGTCTTGAGTGTGTTAATTTACAGTATTCATTAATAGTGAAATTTAAATTATAACGTTGAATAATGTTATCTAGATTATTTACATCTCCATTTCATCTTGAGTGTGTTAATTTACAGTATTCATTAATAGTGAAATTTAAATTATAACGTTGAATAATGTTATCTAGATTATTTACATCTCCATTTCATCTTAAATATAATGGAATATCCGAATATGCAAGAATAATGAGAAAGGAAGGACTGTAATGTTTCATATTACAAGAAAGCAAAGGAAGTGAAATGAACAAAGACGGAGAAAATGCCATGCATTCGTCTATTTTGTTTCACACGAAGTTCTCTATCTTGCATATACATTCTCTTAAATCTCTCTCTTTCTTTCGAAATCGGACTACTGTCTTGTGTTTTTGCACATACGTTTTGCATTGTTTGCATCTACATTTTAATTGCAATTTCTGACTTTAGCGACAAAATATTCCAAGAAAATTATTTAAGAAATGAACTTAATTTTTGAGAATTCATGAGGAACATGAACTACGACGCTTCACGCCTGCATATTTCATGAAGCGCGTTATTTTTCTGATGATTTGCCAATTATTTTTGTCATTCAACGATCGTCTTTAAAAAAAAAACCTTTGCACTATTTTTTGACTTCAATTAGGTCACAATGGAAATATTCTTAATCATCCCCCGGTAGTTCATGATAACATGAACTTTTTTTTAATTTGCAAAGAATCTTAAAGAAATATTTTAAAATGTAAATATAGTAAGACAAACCCTGTTCTTTCTGGTCTCTGATTGATAATAAGGACGCTCCTTTTGTTCCGCTGCAATCAGATTTTGCATTTGACCATGTTTTGGGGACATCCACCAATTTATAACATTTACTCCCTGCATATGAATAATATAATGTTAGTATAAACTAAATTGCTTTAAAATATTTTTTTATGCACAATGTAAAATGAATTGTCATAAAAAATTATATAATCTAAGTATGTTCAAATCATTATTGAACAAACGAACCTACCGTATGGAGATGGAACGAATTGTTTAGGGCATCCACCTTTTATAACTGAAGTAGAAACTTGACTAGATTTGCCCTTATTTCGTTTTTTACAAACAAATCCTGCTAAGGTGTTTCCACAATTGTTATCATTCCAAACCCCACCTGAAATAATATGAATATTTATCAAGTACAGAAAATAAATAAGAATTGTGGTATTAATTGATATCAAAGATGACAGAATAAGTGGATAACACCAACTCAAGACAGTCCTCATTTCTAAGTGATATTTCAATTTTGAAATTCGTATTGAAAAAAAAATATATTTCTATATATAGATTATTGTACATATATATCAATATTTGTGTAAGATTTCTTTCAGGTATGCAGTGCAGCAATATTTTGTCCGAGATAAAAATACAAATTAGGGTATCCCATATAAGGATCTAAATATCCATCATTAAGAAAAAATTCTGATGTTAATTCAGAGCATTTTTGAGTAGAATAGGTTTTACCAAGATAATTTTTCAAAGTACCTACACAGTAATTAATAAATGGAGATTGCAATGAGGGCTATGGGGACTAGCAATTTAAATACTAAGAATATCAATAAATGCTGTGGTGGAAAGATGCATTTAATCATTAGGAATTTTGTAAAAATAATAATAATAATAATAAAGATGAAAAACAATTTCCTTTACCAGATAGAATTTTTCAGAATTGATTAAAAGCAAAGGGGGAGGGGGTTGTGATGATGATCAAACTGATTGATCACATCATAAAAACACAAAAAAGACATTTATTCCTTCATCAAAATTTTCTTCAGAGTAATTAATTAATCATTCTCTGAAAAAATTCCATGCTCTTAGAAATTAAATAAAGAAACTTATAAAAATAAAACAAAATTGCATTACAACAACGCAAAATATGCTGAAAAAAAACTAGCTAGGAAGAGTTAATCATTTGATTAAGTAGAATTCATATCTTGAATACTAATACTGCAGAACATTTTATATTTTGAATATTCAAAAGCCCACTAAGAAAATGTTTGACAGTTGTGTTTATCTACTATTTGAAAATAAAATTAAAACAATAGGCTAAAAAATACATGTATTTTTCTGTATTTTTGATCGCCTTTTGTGGCTCCACTCTATACAAAGGAGCGGCTGTACATGTAATTTGAACAAAAATGGATCTACACTACCTCAGGAAGCTTTCACATTAATATGATTCATCGTATATTTGCTCTTCAGGAATTTAAAAGACTTCGCAGTACAGTTAAGGTTACAAATGGAAATATCGGCGAATTTTTTAAATAGAAATTACATTCTTTACAACGATGGGCGATTCTTTTTAGGACTTCACTATTATCGGACAAATGTAATGTGGTTGAGAACTACATGTTGAGGATGATTAAATTTCTTATCTAGACTTGTGACGTAATGTGGCAGTCACATGGTTTTAGCAAATTTACCTGCAGTATTGAGGTCATCTATAAATTCCAATATTGCAAGGGCATAACCACGTTAAAAATCTAAGTTTAATTTATAATTATTTTCAGCACTCTTTGCAGTTTGTGAAAAGTGCTGCGAACCTATATAGATTCTACTATATAATTGCTAAAATTACATTTGTTAGACCTTATGTTGAATTTTTTGCTGGTCAAGTACATTAAATATTGATATAATTAATTCATTTGCAAGATTTCATCAGGTTCGCAGCACTTTTCAAATATCTTGATACCTCTTGAGTTTATGTGTAAAAGCTTGTCATAATTCATTGAGGGTATGCCCTTGCAATATATCGATTTATTATGACCCTTCTATTACCCTTCAATGAATCTGCATACAAATATACGGCAGAATCGCTTATCTAGTAAATGTACTGGAAGTATATGAATAAAATCATAAAATAGACATCGCATCCAAGTTAATGGCCTCTTATATATCTGCAAATATATTTTATTTAATTACAAAATACATTTTTCATTGTATAAAATATACCTTGATCCGCCTCTCACTGCATACAATCTGCGTCAAAGTTTGCGATATGACGTCACATTGACAAATGCATTTCGATCAGTGAATTCTTTATATATTGCTGTGTGGGATTTAACCAACAACAAAAATACATGCAATAGTAAATATTGATGTAGTTTAAACTATCCAACAGTTTAAAATAGCAAATCATATCATTTTGTGGTAATTTGAAGAACATATATTTTTGTGTGATGTCATAGTAAGCATTTCCCGTAAAAATTAGGCTCCGCCTCCTTATTGCAGCCTTAACTGTGCTGCGTTTCCCCTAAATAATCCCTATTGTGGCCCAACCCGACTCCCGGGGTATGACTTGAACAAATTAGAATCTACACTACCTCGGGAAGCTTCCACTTCTGATTCAGCTTTTCTGGTCCAGTAGTTCTTGACAAGAAGATTTAAAAAAAAAAAATGTCCAATATATTTCAGGTATGCATTCCCTATTATGGCCCCAACCTACCTCCGGGGGTCATGTTTTGGACAATTCAGAATCTACACTAACTCAGGAAGCTTCCACATAAGTTTCAGCTTTCCTGGTCCAGTGGTGTTTGAGAAGATTTTTTCCTGTATATTTTTATATGAAACTTTGATTCCCTATTGTGTTCCCACCTGAACCCCCTGGGGCCATAATTTGAAGAATTCAGAATCTACACTACCTCAGAAAGCTTCTACACATCATTCAGATTCTCTAGTCCGATGGATCTTGAGAAGAATATTTTTAAAGACTTTTCCTCTATATTTCAAAGTAAAACCGATTTCCTATTATGGCCCCACCCTACCCCCCGGGGCCTTGATTTGAACAATTTAGAATCTACACTACCTAAGAAAGCTTCCTGCTAAGATAAGTTTCATCTTTTCTGGTCCAGTGGTTCTTGAGAAGAAGATTTTTTAATGAGCCCATCATTTTTTATTTGCCTTTTCTTGATTATCTCCCCTTGGAAGGGGGCTCGGTCCTACATTTTAATAATCTGGAATTTTATTCACCGAGAGATGATTTGTAATAACTTCGGTTAAAATTGGCCCCGTGGTTCTTCAGAAGAAGTTGAAAATGTGAAAAGTTTACAGACGGACGGACAGCTAGACAGACAGACAGTCGGACGAACTCCGGAAAAAGGGTAATCAGAAATGCTCACTTGAGCTTTCAGCTCAGATGAGCTAAAAAGAGTTGTGTTTGCGAAATACGAATTCCCTAAATTATAGGTCAATTTTGCCCTAATTAAGTTGAACAACTAGAATTTTAATATTGGTATTAATCTTTAGTAAAAGGTCGTGAGACGTCATCTGATCATAAGCTATCTTGGCAAGTACGAATTTCTAAATTCTCTCCATTACAAAGCAACGGACTGGATAAAAATATTTGTTAGTTACTTCTTATCCTAGTTACATGTATTTTTGGTACAAAAATTGGTTGCGTGCCCTGAGACATACCTTACAATTACAAGTATATTCTAACGCTGTGCTTTGAAGATTCTCATTCGTTATATATGCTTAGTCTCACTTTTTTTTCCTTTTGAAACATCCCAAGCATTTGAAAGACCCTCACCTAATTTCAAATGAGAGCAGGCTTCCATGTCAAGGTAATTGTTAGGTTCATCTTTAGCCCAAAATGTGAAATCGAGTGGTGTTCCATCGGTCCATGCAAATCTTCAAGAAATTTTCATTCATAACCAGCATATTTTGGTATTGAAGCATTTTAAAATTATGTGCCCTATTTATTAATCTGTTAAATCTGAATATGGCATTTCGATGTCTTTTTACTACTTCTTTCGCTATATATTGTAGACCTACTGAGCGTTCGATGATAGGACCAAGCCTATCCACAAGTCTTTGGACGAAATCTGCAAAAGAATGCACACAAGAGGAATTCCAAAAGATCTGTCTTGTATGTGATTTATAGAACACATGAGTGTAGTGTAGTTTGTAAATATATATGTTTCAGATTCATCTATATTTGCTGTAGAAATATTTTCATGAAATACACAATTATTTTCAGTTAAAACTATATGATGGTTAAAGTTTTCTTGAAGAAAATCGTTTGATGATGGTTTGGAGAAGGTTATTTGATGATTCAAAACTGAATCAACTGAAACTGATAGGTTTATAGATCATTAAAAGATTTGAAGGGATTTTGTTAATTAAAATTCCAGTTTAATTAACGTAAATTTAAACGTAAATTTAATTCCATTTGAGTATATCTATTACTGCAACAAATCTTTTTTTTAAATTACACATGAAATTACACATGAAATCAATTGCACACAAAAAGAAAATATTAAGAAGCAAGAAAGTCATGTACCAGATCTATTAACTTACGTCAGATATAAAACTGTTTTCATCTTCGCTGTGAATACTTGCTAATTCTGCACCCTTTTCTCGACAGATACGCTGTGCCTCATGAAAATTTGATTGAACTTCTGTTACGTTGAAACAGGAGTGATTCAACCGTACGAATTCCTCATCATCGCATTTCTCTGTGAAGCAAAACCTACTTTTATATTCTCACAACCTACACATCATCAACAGTTTTCATACTGAACTGAATTGACATGCAAGCTAATAGTCCTCAGATTCAATATTATAAATTTAAAGTCACCAGAACTATTTCTTTAAGAAATAAGATATCATTTTTAGAGTTACATGGGGATATGATATAAAGTTAGTCACTTGATCAAATCCTAAAACGCCCAAAGAGTGTCATAGTTGATTTGATCAAGTACCCTCTGCATGTTATATCCCAATGAAACTCTTAAAAAGGATATTTTATTTCTTATGTTTATGGGTTTTTTTTAATTTTTGTTACCAAGAAAAATGACACTTTTTAGACTCCGTTATGGAAATGCAACTAACATACATACTTCAATATCACAGTATAGACCTTTCAAATGACTCTTGCGATTTGCTTTTCATATGCAGAAAAGTCCAATGTCGTTAGCATTGTCATATAAAGAAACACATTGGCAAATGTAAATATTCATTATTTACATGTTATTTTATTTATGAAGATCATGCATACAAGTAAACCTAATACCATAAGCGTAAATAGACTTACCCAAAGGCGGAGGCTGAAAATGACCCCTTACCAAAACACCTGCAAGAATAATATGATTTAAAGAGCTTTGATGAGTGTACCTTCTACAGGACCCTCTTTAACTGCGACAGATTACCTCATGAAGATTGATGCTTAGAAAGATGAAGAATTTCAGACCAAAAGACTTAATTACCATAATATTTGGACACGGAAATAAAAGAAAAACCTTGTTAATCCAGATTTTATTGAAAAATTTCAAAATCAAGCAGGTACATTGTTATTGTCACCCTCCCCTCCAATATTGCAGATTTCGTAATCATGAAATTGATTAACACTCCCAAAACTAAGGTAATACTAAATTATTCAAATCCGACTCGAGACCAGGGTTTTTAAAGTCTCATCCGAAAGACCCGCAACTTGTATCTGAAGGCAGATATTTAATTGGCAAAATTATATATTACATAGCAATATTGATGCATGATATTGTGAATTAAATTCAAACATACCTGGACAATATCTCATCAGGAAGGATGATTAAGCAATGTTTTTGCTATACTGATTACTTATTATGGTATTTAACTTGTATTTAACTTTTGACCTCTGATACAACATCATTGACCTATGCGAGGTACAAAGTCAACTGTAAAACAGTTCAAAAGTTTAATAGTACGCGTATTTGTGAGGCAGACGCTGGGAGAATTAGAACATTATCCCAACAACTTTAAAAATTGTTTGTTTGTTTATTTGATTGTTGTTTAACGCCCCTCTCGGGAATTTTTCACTCATCACTTGCCGGTGGAGGGCTGCAAATTTATACCTATGCTCGGCTTTAAAAATTGAAAATGCATACCTTTTTCTACTTTGCATATGAATGGAAGTCTAGATGAACAAACGAGATCGTTAAATCCTCTGTTATAACGTCGGTATGTGGCGCAGTTCTCCTTCCCCTGCCAATTATCTGGTTGAGACGTCAGCCATTTTGTGTAATCTAAAGGTGTTCCATCTGACCATTGCCAATCTAAAAAAAAAAAAAAAACAATGCGGAAGGTAATGCTAGTATTACAAAGGTATTTATGGGTTATAAAAAGAATGTTTGTTAACAATTTTTTAACAGAAAAAGTTTGAATGAAAAAAAATTAATTTAGGACTCAATTCTTAAAATATATACATATACCTCCCTCTTTTTCTCTGTCATTTAGTCCAATCCAAAAATCTTGCGACGTTGACCTGTAAAGAACAAGCTTGTTCTTAAGAGACATCTTAAAATTCCGTTGCATCTACACATGAAGCTGTTACGAGTTCATGCTTTATATATATATATATAGAGAGAGAGAGAGAGAGAGACATGTCCACAATTTTTGTTCATATTTTTAATTATTTAACTGAGGTGACTTCCCAGCAAAAGTATTATACCCTATCAGCGTATTTTTGGCATAGAAGTAACTAAGTTCAAGAAATTATTTTCCCCTAGTAATGAGTAAAAAAAATGGAATTCATGTAAAATGCACATCTCTTATAAATGTACAATTGAACTGCAAAATAAGACTTTTTGTCTTTATCTTGGCATCTGTAGGAGTGGTATCTGAACAAATCATGTATCCTTTATGCAATATTTTGCAACAGACAACGCTAAACAGCTGAATTTTTTCCTCATAAGTAATCAACAAGAGGCCCAGGGGCCACATGGCTCACCTGAGCAATTTGGCATGGAAAAGCAGAAATCAGTTCAGTATTGAAAAGTTTAGATATGAAAGTGGTTCGGGAGGGGGGTGGGGTATGAATTGAATAAGCATAAATATGACACATAATGGCTTTGCTGTTTTTAAGATGGAAATTTTTATTGATATATATCCTTCATATTCCTTTGTATAACTATGATTCCCTGTTATGGTCCCTTTATTCTCCGGAGGGGGCCATGATTGGAAAAAATTTAAATCCACATTACCCTTTTCGATGCTTTTATATATTTATGACTAATCATGGCTTTGTTGGGAGGGGGTCTGATTTGAACAAGCTTAAATATGACAGATAATGGCTTTGCTGTTTGTAAGATGAAAATTCTTATTAATATATCATTTATATTCCTTTGTATAACTATGATCCCCTTTATGGTCCATCTATTCTTCGGAGGGGGGGGGGGTCATGATTTGAACAAATTTAAATCTACATTACCTTTTTGGATGCTTTTATATATTTATGACCAATCATGGCTTTGTTGTTCTTGTGAAGAATTTTAAAGATTTTCCCCTATGTATTCCTATGTTAAACTTTGATCACCCATTGTGGACCCACCCTACCCTGAGGGGTCATGACTTGAACAATTTGAATCTACACTACCTGAGGTGGTTTTCATATAAATACATGTATGTTTAATCATGGCTTTGCTGTTCTTGAGAAGAGGATTTTCTCCTATGTATTCCTATGTAAAACTTTGATCGCCCATTGTGGCTTATGAAAATTGAAGGAGGAGTTAACTGGATAAATTATACACCTTTTTGGTAACTGCCCACCCGCCATATTCACTATGTCACTTTCCCCCGCGGAAAACCTCATAAACAAACCCTTTTCAAACAACCTGGTTGCATTGAATTTTTTTTAGAATTATTTACAAAATAGATTATAATAACGCGGTAGATATCCATTTGCTTCATCCCAATATGACAGAAAAGTAGTAATAAAATATTTCATCCATCAATGTTAATGTCATTATGGGAGATTTAGAACTGTCAGGTAAATGTAGCGAAGTGGTACGGGTCTTTCTCCTCCTGGAGTTCCTTACGAAAGAAATCCTGATACAAAATGATGATAATATAGGATAACTTTCAGTACGTTTCCATGTGCATAAATCAAGGGATGGTCTTTTTGCTATTATTATTTTTTTTTTAATATCTTAGTGTATGGGATGTTCTTTTTGCTATTATTATTATTTTTAATATCTTAGTGTACATTAAAAAATAATGTAGTGAAATAAAAAACATTCTGTTTGAAAGAAATGCTAAATATTTTATATCCCTTACTTATTTTCATTATAGGTACAGGTATTTAAATTCATATTGTAAAATAAATCGAATAAGTGATAAGAAAGATAAAAATATCACAAATATATATAAACGCAGGGGAAATATTTTTGACTGCAAAAATTATGAAAAACTAGTCAGAGATGTATCTTGGCAGAGACATATGGTTTTATACGCAGCTAGGTTAAGGACTCCCATATCTACGTCAGCCTATGCAGAGGTTTGGGAGAGCTATTATGACGTCACGTTAAAACAATACAAATGAATCTCGATGAATAAATACTATAATGTTCTTTTTAAAACATATGAAATACTTTCGTTTCTCATAAATGTTATAAAAATAAATCGATGTGCAACTTATCTTGCCATAATAGCACTTAGCGTATGCAGAATGAAAGCCAGATTGATCTCGCTGTACTTACTGAGATGACGTCATTTCTTAGTTTGACACGCAGTTTCTCTGTATTTGAGGCGTGGATCAAACTTTAATCGTGGCTTGTAAAAATGAAAATAAATACGAAACATGCGTAGTCTGACAAAAAGAGAGACATATTCTGAAATATATTAATCCACATTTTATTGTCAAACTAAATTGATAATGTGTAGACTTTATATATAGCCGTAGGGAGCACATTTGTACAGTAACGTGCTAGAATGAGGGGTCCAGCCCCTCGAAAATATCAAAAGTTCAACGATATCCGTTTCACTATAAATTCTGAATTTTTAAACACGTGTAGCCATTATTCCTACTATTCTGAAAAGTGCTGGGAGCTGGTTGTACATCGTTTATTTATTCCGTAATCTAACATTATTCCAATGCGTATTACATTTTTGTCCTGAGTTTATAGAAAGACGGCTAAATTTTAAACAATTCTCAAGCATGAGGAAGTTGCTCCCAGCACTTTTCGGGTTAAGGAATTTGTCTCAAAGAAAACAAAATAAATTTTATAGCGTAAGAATGCCCGTATATCGTTGAACTTTTACGATCTTTGTAGTAGTACATATATGGTCCAATTTTAAACCTGTCACGTGACAAACAGCTGATGTAAGCGATGTCACTTTGGCCGAGCTCAGCAGAGACCCGATATATACAAATGCAATCACCACAATTCACATTTATCAAAACTACTGCTGTTAGAAAAATATTAAAATTGTATTCATTTTCCCTGAATATATAAAGGCGTATATTTCATGGGCGTCCTTAACCTAGCTGCGTATGTCTCTGATCTTGGTCACTAAAATCGGTATTTAAAATTACTCAACCGTGAAATGTAAGGCGTCACGTAGGGAAGTGATAAAAAGCCAAAAGACCCGTACATATTAATGATGACAGGTTCGCCAACACATTTTGTAGTATAACTTAATGCACCGGAGGTATACACATTGTTTTTCAATATTTACAGTCAATATGAAATCTTGCAATTATGCTTAGGCTGATGGAAGTTCCAATGGGTCTAGTAATTGAATTGCCTACAGAATATTTCATCTGTTGTCATAGAGGAACTGGAATGGTTTTCTACCAACCGTGACGGTGGCGTTGGCGCGTTTTAACGTCACTTCTAGATTGGACTTTTCATCTCTCCATCTGTGTAATCTTGACGTCATTGCTATTGAAACCTATATTAATACAGTAGGCAATCATAATCGTTACAATCAACCCAAAACTGAAAGAAACCGATTACTCTATTTTGATTTGTGGGCTCGTGAACTTAACGTCAGTGTTACTCTCACTTGCGCTCGTGTGCGTCGTATGCCTATTTTTTCAGCATGTTCACAACCAGCAAAATGTAGCCAGAGTTTGTAAAGTCTTTCTCGCAAACATTCACACTAACCAGATCGAATGGCCTCTATAAAGTCTCTCTTTCCTCCGATCGAACATCTGTGCTACTAACATGACGGAAAGGTTTACGAGCTTCTCAATGCCCTGGCTACTCTCGACCAACCAAGAGCTGACCTGTCGGAAGGGTTGAATAATATTCCTATGAACAAGATGAAGGCAATGATGAACTCCATGCAGAGGAGATTCAAGGCTGTGACAGATATGCGAGGAAGATAGGGAATGAGAATTTTTATTTTCACTTTTGGAGCACCGTCATATGGATTTTAATAATTCATAAATTATCAGTCAAATCAAATTAAAATTTGATGTAATATAACAACACTGAACAAAAAAGATGTAATATAACAACACGGAACAATGAATTAAAAAAACATAAAATCACTTTAAAATTTACCATGCTTTTTTTCTCTTTCAGTATATAAAAAACCGCTGTTTACCATCTAATAAGTGAATGAAGTTGACGGGATTCAGTATCGGAATGAATACTCGCTAGATCCGCCCCTATTCCTTGACAGTATGATCTTGCTTGTGTCCAGCTGGATTTGTCTTGAATAACCTAAATAATTTGGAACAATTTTTTAAAAATAGATCAGTATTCTCCTTGAACATACGTTTAAAAAACACACGATTTGAACAATTTAGAATCTATGCTACCCCAGGATGCTTCCACGTAGGTTTCAACTTTTCTTGGATTCCCTTTTGGGGCCCCGCCCTACCCCGGGGTCATGATTTGAATAAATTAGAATCAACACTACTACATGATGCTTCCACATTAGTTTCAGCTTTTCTGGCCCAGTGGTTTTTGAGAAGAAGATTTTTAAAGATTTTTTTCTACATATCTCAAAGTAAAACTTGGATTCCCTTTTGTGGCCCCGCCCTACCCACGGGGGTCATGATTTGAACAAATTTAGAATCTACACTACCCCAGGATGCTTCCACATAAGTTTCAGCTTTTCTGGCCCAGTTTTTCTTGAGAAGAAGATTTTTTAATTACACCATCCTATTTTCGTCTTTTCTTATCTCCCCTTGGAAGGGGGCTTGGCCCTTCATTTTAACTCCCTTTACTCAAGGATGTTTTGTACCAAGTTTGGTTAAAATTGGCCCAGTAATTCTTGAGAAGAAGTTGAAAATGTGAAAAGTTTACAGACGGACAGACAGACGGACGGACGACGGACAACGGGTGATCAGAAAAGTTCACTTGAGCTTTCAGCTCAGGTGAGCTAAAAACAGAAGTTGACAATGGAAAAACTAGTCACGTCAAATACATGCATTTTAATTAACGTCGAAAGTCAGCAGTATTTCTATATACAGGGGTCTTGCCTTAGCAGCTACATGTATAATAGTTTTTTCACTCCAACACAAGAGAGCGCGCGATTCAAGGAAAACAATTATTTCCTCTGTAACAAGTTTTTGTCCAAAATATAATAATAATAAAGAATACGAGTATTGGTTTTCTTCTTCAAATTTTTGAATGTGTGCATGTATTTTATGGAAAATTGTGCTGATTGATACTTGTGTCAAAACCTTTGATATACCTTATAACAAAAATTTTTAATAGTTGACCAGCCGTTTTGGCACTTGAGTGGAGGAGTTGTTGGTATGGAAAGTGTAGTCGTTGTGTATCCATCTCGGAGTTTCTCGCATATGAAATTATGTCTTGTAGTGCAGTTTTTAAACGACCATATCCCAGCAGGCACTGATGTCGTCATTGTGGCACATGCTTCTGACAATTCAATGGAAGAGAAATCTGTAAAAAAAAAAACAAGAGGCCCAAGGGCCTTAACGGTCACCTGAGTATAATACAACAATTTAGAGGATCCATAGAGTATAAAATGAACTGAAAGGTGAAGCTTTGTTGCCCAAAAGCAAGAAGAATAGGGTGATCAGGATCAACAAAATAATTAATCTAGTATTCATTGACAGTTTATAAATAAGGTTCTAATCTGTTCCCCATTTATCACTATACAGTATATTAAAAAGAAACTATCAGCGCTTCTGTACTATTTTAATTCCTTGTTGAAATCTCTTACATTGGCCTCTCTTGGTCTTTGATGAACATTTAATAAGACAAGTTATTTTTGTTCCATTTTTATTTATCTATTACTTACAAGTCTACCTGATCATAAAAACTATGAAAATACTTTTTGTATTATACAATAAAAATTCTTGCATAATTCTCTTATTCTATTAACCTTTCAACTACATTGTTTACAGTGATTAATTATCAAAAGTAAACGGCAAAGGGGAATAACTCCTCTCAGTAGAATACAAATTAATAGAGTCCTGGCCAGGACCAGAACACTTGACCAAATGGTCCAGATGTTCAAAAATCTGGTAAAAATACCCTTCCTTATTAAAACTTTTAATCTTTTTGCCTCTGATATGCCCAAGTGAAAAGTTTTTAAAGGAATAATGCATTTTTACTACAGATTCACTGTATCATCAATAGAGCCCCCCCCCCCCCCCTCCCCACTGAGAAACACTAGAATCTCTCACCCTGGGACCAGAAGTTTGCTCATCATAAGTAATCACTTTGTTTATCTGCTTAAAACTAACGAGCAGACAGAATTATTTAATAGAATTAATGCATTTTCAATATATTATCAACAGCCCCACCCTTACACCAGCACATCTGACCCGGGGTCATGCAATTCACTACTCTGGAAGAAGCACTCTTGCTCATCATAACTATATACTTAGCTTCTTTGCTTTTTAACCAGAAGCAGAAAAGAATATTTTCAAAGAAATTTTGCTTTTTCACTACATAATTAATAGAGCCCCCCCCCCCAACTTTTCACTTGACCCTGGGGCCATGAAATTCACAATTTTGGAAGAGGGATCCTTGAGTATCATAACAATGTACTCAGTTTGTTTAAATAGTACCAAGGGGCAGAGAAGAAGATTTTCAAAGAAAAAATTCACCTTCACTATAGGATCTATATAGCCCCACCCTAGAACCAGAACCCCTGACCCTGGGGCCATGAATTTCACAATTTTGGAAGAGGCATCATGTCTTATCATAACAATGTACTTACTAGTTTGTTTCAAAAATACCCAGGAGCAGAGAAGATTTTTAAAGCATTAATGCATTTTCACTATATAATAAATAGAGCCTGGCCCTAACATCAGAACCCCTGACCCAGGGGTCATGAAATTCACCACCCTTGCTTATCATAACTATGTATTTAATTGGTTTAAATAATACCCAGGAGTAGAGAAGAAGATTTTCAAAGAAATAATGCACTTTCACTATATGATCTATATAGCCCCTCCCTAGCACCAGAACACCAACCCTAGGGCCATGAACATCACAATTTTGGTAGAGTCACCCTTGCTTATCATAACTATGTATTTAATTTGTTTCAATAATACCCAGGAGTAGAGAAGAAGATTTTCAAAGAAATAATGCACTTTCACTATATGATCTGTATAGCCCCGCCCTAGCACCAGAACCCTTGACCCTGGGGCTATGAATTTCACAATTTTGGTAGAGTCACCCTTGCTTATCATAACTTTGTATTCAATTTGTTTCAATAATACCCAGGAGTAGAGAAGAAGATTTTCAAAGAAATAATGCACTTTCACTATATGATCTATATAGCCCCCCCCCCCCCCCCCCAGCAACAGAACTCCTGACCCTGAGTTTCTCAATTTTGGTAGAGTCACTCTTGCTTATCATAACTATGTATTTAATTTGTTTCAATAATACCCAGGAGTAGAGAAGAAGATTTTCAAAGAAATAATGCACTTTCACTATATGTTCTATATAGCCCCCCCACCCCCCACCCCACCCCAGCAACAGAACCCCTGCCCCGAGGCTATGAATTTTACAATTTTGTTAGAGTCACCCTTGCTTATCATAACTATGTATTTAATTTGTTTCAATAATACCCAGGAGTAGAGAAGATTTTCAGAGAAATAATGCACTTTCACTATATGATCTGTGTAGCCCTGCTCTAGCAGAAGAATCCCTGACCCTGGGGCCATGATTTTCACAATTTTGGTAGAGTCAACCTTGCTTATTATAACTATGTATTCAATTTGTTTCAATAATACCCAGGAATAGAGAAGAAGATTTCCAAAGAAATAATGCACTTTCAATATATGATCTATATAGCCCTCCCCCCCCCCCCCCCAGCAACAGAACCCCTGACCCTGGGGCTATGAATTGCACAATTTTGTTAGAGTCACTCTTGCTTATCATAACTATGTATTCAATTTGTTTCAACAATACCCAGGAGTAGAGGAGAAGATTTACAAAGAAATAATGCACTTTCACTATATGATCTATATAGCCCCCCCCCCCCCCCCAGCAACAGAACCCCTGACCCCGAGGCTATGAATTTTACAATTTTGTTAGAGTCACCCTTGCTTATCATCACTATGTATTTAATTTGTTTCAATAATACCCAGGAGTAGAGAAGATTTTCAGAGAAATAATGCACTTTCACTATATGATCTGTGTAGCCCTGCCCTAGCAGAAGAATCCCTGATCCTGGGACCATGAATTTCACAATTTTGGTAGAGTCAACCTTGCTTATCATAACTGTGTATTCAATTTGTTTCAATAATACCCAGGAATAGAGAAGAAGATTTCCAAAGAAATAATGCACTTTCAATATATGATCTATATAGCCCTCCCCCCCCCCCAGCAACAGAACCCCTGACCCTGGGGCTATGAATTTCACAATTTTGTTAGAGTCACTCTTGCTTATCATAACTATGTATTTAATTTGTTTCAACAATACCCAGGAGTAGAGGAGAAGATTTTCAAAGAAATAATGCACTTTCACTATATGATCTATATAGCCCCACCCTAGCACCAGAACCCCTGACCCTGGGGCCATGAATTTCACAATTTTGGTAGAGGGCTCAATGCTAATTACAATAATGCCAACAGTTTGACTGCTTGATGTCCTGGAGTAAAGAAGAAGATTTTTAAAGATTGCATTAATTTTGGTGGTTTTAGCCCTACCCCTCGGGCCCCAGGGGGGCAGGGACCATGATATTCACCAATTTTGTTCCCCTTTACACATAGATGTCATATGCTAAAATTGGCTGAAATTGGTTCAGCGGTTTCAGAAAAGAAGCTGAAAATGTTCAAATGTTAACACACGACGGACGACGGACGAAAACAGATAGCAATAGGTCACCTGAGTGACTCAGGTGACCTAAAAAAGTAGTAGATATTGAGGGATTTGAAGAACTGACGAAGTAAAACCGTTCCCCTCATTCTCTCTTTCTTTCTTTTTAAAAACTGTTTCTGTAAATGCTAGAAATTCATAACTATTATTATATAACTATATTATTATATAACTATAATTGTATAGCCTTTACATAATTAAAATGTTTAAATAAACCATTATAATTTCTGTAAGACATTTTTCTTACCAAGTTTATCCCCAAACCGAAATTTGATAAGCTGACCGCTATTCCACATCATAAAGGTATCATTAGACCTTGTCTCCTTATATCCTATCCAAAAGTTGCCAGTCTTTCTAATCAGCTGACTTGAGAGAAATGCTTGAACATATCTACGAATTATAATATTCCATCATTAATTTTCCTCTCATACGTTTACACAATACTAGTAACTACTTTTAATTTCTTTCTATGGTATGAGTGCGTTTCGAACAGGACACAGTTTAGATATACTTACACATTACTAACAGTGGCTAGATGTCCATTTTCTCCTTGACATTTTGACTGGGCTTCACTCCATGTGAATTTTTCACTGCTGAATTTGTAACACATGGACGTGTAGCTCACATAATTCTAAAATAAAAAGAGCACTGTTGTAGAGATTTCTATTACAAAATGACTTTGTTTGACTATTTAACATTACGAAAATGGATCTGTTTTAGGCCAGTATGATAATAAGAATTTAAAGATTTAAAATACAATCTTTACAAATTAGATAAAAGGAACACCATTACTGAGATATAATAAATTGTTTTTCATATCATGTCTCCTAATATGATATACAAGCATGCAATTCATTGCCATCATGCTGTTAGCTCAAACTGAATTGTTCCACAATAATAATGATAAGAATGAGAATAATTTTAAAATGTTGAGAAAATCTGATGTCTGTCTATTTTTTTCTTTGTTAACATCCCCTCGAGAATTTTTCACTCACATTGAGATGCCACCACTTGCCAGTGGAGGGCTTCAAATTTAGACCTGTAATCGACACAAAGGATCTTTGAGAAGTGAGGGATATTTTTTGTGCCAACATCTACTGCGATACGGGACCCCCGTTTCAAGGGTCTCATCCGAAGAACCGGTCTTTACTTCCCACAGTGGGATTCGAACCCGCAACGTAAGGATCAATTCTCTAGAGCAAACGTTCTAACCTCTCCTCTACGCGGGTGACTGATGACTGGTAAAAATATCAATATATGAATAATTAAAACTAACAAAATTTGAAAAAATTAAGAAAGAAGATAACCATTGAAAGAGAAGTATTGGAATAAAAGAGGAAACAAGTTAAATCTGTGCATATTTTTACGATACTTTTCAACATATTATTTGGTCTATCTGATCAATATATAGGGTTCAGGGCGGGTGACCGGTCGACAGGGGATTCTTACTCTTCCTACTAGGCACATAACCCCAACTCTGAAATTTCCGGGAATCCTATGCTCTATTCAGATTTGTATTGTTTACACGTTTTTGAGAAATGTTTGTTATTATTACCTTTTTCATCTTTAAAATATTGCTACTTTAAGTTTCCTCTCAAAAAATGAGGTACATACATGTAACAAGGCATTTTTGCAGGATCCCAGAGGAAGATACTTTCTATAAAATGGTAAATTTTTTCTGGACTTTTTAAAAAGATTTTACAAATCAAAAGAATCAAAAGAAAATGATAATTGTAAATATGTTTTGCATACTCTGAAGAAGGGCAAAAAGAGATATTTAAGGAAAAATTTTAAGACCTTAAAAATGATTTTAAAAAATTTCAACAACAAACAAACAAAACAAGACCAAAAAAAAAATAATTAAACATTCCATGCCAGAATACTTCTCAATACCCTATCACAACCGGTAGACACTGTAATTCCCTCCTTTTGTTTTGGAGCTTTACAAATCAAACCTGGCATTATCATGTTGCATTTCTGATCAAACCATAATCCATCCTTAAGAAAAAAAAGATGAATATTGTATATGTATTGAATTGTACAAAGTCAAAGTCATTACGTGGTAAAAAATAAAAACAAATAAAAATGGAGTATTATTTAAAGTACCTAAGACATTAAATACAAATAATGTACAACTGAACATATCTTGAAAAATGATTAAGTACACATACATTGTAGGTCATCGCAGTGCAACCTTCGTGATAGTTAAGATATCCCTGGGGTTCTGATTTTTTCCACAGTGTAAAGGAAACCTTTTCATGGTTTTCCCATGCGAACAGATAACCTTTTGCGTCTTTAAGACCAATCCAGAATCCTCTGTGAATAACTGTTAAATATACGATGAAAGTATTCTTTCTCAGTCTGATTATAATTCAACTGTCTTTTTAGGGTTCACCTCAAGGTTTGCCAAACTTAAGATCTTGGGAGAAAGATTCCTAAGATACTTTAAGTGAGTGGTAAACAATATTATTTAACAGACAATTTAGTCTTACTATGTTTGACTTGACATCGTGTTCTTTTTTAGGCAAACCAAAACATTTATAGCTTTGAATATATTTATATAATTGTGTGATACTTTTTTCAGACACCATTAGTTTGGCTTTATTCTTGCTTCATTTGGGGTTGGTTTGTATAAAAGCAGGAAATTGCAATAATAATCTATTATTTAGATGTGCTATTTCAGGTGGTTGTTCTAAACCTTATGAATCAACGACTCAATCAAATTACCTTCTACCTCGGCATTTGCTCTGCAAATCAGCTTTTATGTAAAATTTATTTTCTATAAAAGGTGTTTTTTTTTCGAAAATAACTAAATAGGTATAATTATTTTGATAAAGATACATAATCAGGAAAAAAGAACCAAACAAACAATTATGACTGTCCTACCGCATGAGACATTTTTATATCAATGACTCTTCACATATTAATTTATATTTATCTGCATATGAATGTGAAACTCTAAGACTCCAAGGTTTTCACATTTTATTTATATTTACCTGCATTACAACCTCCACACGTTTTTCTACAGTGTTTTAACATCCATTCTGGATTATTTTCACAGCCATTTATGGCTGCATAGGATTGGCAGTGTTCAGTATTGAATGAATCAGAACAGTTCTTGCTGCATTGCTTGCATGCGGCAGGACATTGTTTTACCATGTATAACAAGTCATCTGTACATTTACCCATAGCTGCCATCTCTGAGCAGTGCGTATCGTTAGGGTGAAAATTAAAACAATACTCTGAAAAACATAGATCTTACTTTTAAATTATATCAAAAATAACATAAAGACTTATTAAATGGTCTAACTTTCGAATAAAACAGCTCCATTGTATATCTATTAAACTATATAAAGCTGATTCCAAATAAGAAATACTTTGCATGCCACCATATGTTAAAAAAAAAAAAAAAAAAAAAAAAAAAAAAAAAAAAAAAAAAAAAAAAAAACCTAAAAGTATTATTCTCTATAGTGCTATCATATTAATGATGCTCTCTCATACCAGAAGGTAGTTGACTAAATAAGAAATTTTGCTCGTCTTGGTCAGCAATGGTTGCCAGGTAACTGTCTTTGCTTCTACAGAACTGGCTTGCCTCACCCCAGGACATTTTCTTTCTTTCAATCAAGAAACAATGATCCCTATATGACTTCCAACCATCTGGACAAATTTTTCTATATCCTTGAGAGATAAAATATCTTCTTATTAGCTTAATATCTCAACAAAATTTATAAAAACTAAGTAGAAACACAGTAATCTTAAGCAATTTGAAAACGAAGAAAATGTACCATCAGTTGTAGGAATGGTAGGAGTTGTGCTAATTCTCGATGGACCTAGACAAAACATATAAAAATAATACTCCTTAAAAAGCTTTCTTCAATAATAGACACGCTTACCTACGACTTTAAAAAACAGGGGGTCGTAACATAAAGCTTGCTAAGTTTTTGACTTAAGTAGGGTCATAAGTATGTTTTAGGTGCAATCTTAAGACCTGCCTAAGTACTACTTAAGTGTGTCTTAAACCGTAACATAAAACGGACTTAGCTAGGTCTTAGCTAAGTCAAACTTATGCTCAAAATATTTTCATGAATCATCCTAGTTTTTCAACTTATTTATATATGTATTTGTACATATGATTTAGTTACGTTTTTATCACATGTAAACTAAAGTTGATGTATACCTATCGGTTTTAGCTAGGTTAGATTGGATTTCGTAATTAATTAAAATTAATTCTGTTTAAATAATTCTGAATATTTGAAAACAAATATTGCACGCTTACAAAGTGGCACTAGTGGTTCATTGTAAATGCGTGAATATTGTTAATCACTCGAGACTGCGATGTTTTCAGTTTACCGTTTGTTGTTACTCCTTCGTTTGACAAATGTTCACTTGCTTTCAAATTGTCTTTCTCGCAGACATGGCACGATAACCGAGCATATGTACTTGAAATTGAAACGCTTAATTAAAAAAAAAAAATAGGGATATTTGAATTTTGTTCCTCCCATATCAGGAAGCAGAGACTGCAGACGTTTTATGATATACTTATTTACAATTTAATGAAGGATGGAAAAGAATTGTTTTCAGAAAACAATTTTTCGTATATCTCCAACTTACATGTAACAACAACTCTCTCTCTCTCTCTCTCTCGTACGTTAACGGTAGTGAACCCTGTCTGAATCCTTGCTTGTTGCGTTCTACATTCAATCTAATTTACAGAAAATCTTTATTAGTTTTCTAGTCATCATCCTTTAATTCACCTACAACTTTTAAAATCATTTCATCTCATTTTTTCACAGTAAACAAACAAATCCAGGATTACTGTATACAAGTTGCTTAAAATAATTACTGTTTATAACCTAGGTCCCACTATAATATTTCAAATGTATCCAAAAATAGTATTTTGCATTTACACGTATGTCATTTAGATAATATTGGAATAAGTGATGAATACCTCCCTCCCCCCCCCCGACGAAAAACTAAAATTCTTATACCAGTATATTAAATAGAGAAAATTATTTTTTAATGCATAATATAACTAGAGGAATGTTTAAACATAGTAAGTCAATCTTAAATAGTACTAAATATATGTTTAAGAAAGTTAAGACAGACTTAAGTCACCTCTACAGGCCGCCTAAGTTTTGCTAAGATTGTCAAATCTTAGCATGTTTCTAGTTACGGTCTTAAGTTTAAAACTGTACTTAAGTCCTACTTAAGCATGGTCTTAGACTTAAGTACCCTTTATGTTACGACCCCCTGGTGCCTACGGCATGTTCGACGTTTTAAATAAGATAATAATCATACTCAAAGACTCCAAGAAAATAGATTTATTTGCAATTAAGAAATATCATATGCCGATAATTATCCTTAACTCAAAACAGAAACTGTTTTCATTTGGAAGAGAACAGATAAGGCAAAGAATGTACGGTAACCGTAGAGGAAATTTTCATCAGGCAAAGAGAGTGCATACGTATTTTCTCGCAGATGAAGTAATGCTTTTGGCCACAAGAAACATCTGACCATTTTCCATTTATAGAAAACATAGAAACACATTCCTCTGATCCAGAACTCTGTCCATCAGGTTGCCCTGAAAATGAAACACATTTCTTTTTTTCTTCTCAATTTGCATTTATCTAACGTTGATACATAAGTAATATAATAAAGAAAACGAAATAAAGATATAAAAGATGGTTGTAAATTGACCAGGAAACCAGTTGTAGAAGACAAAGGGGGAACCACTGCTCCAGCGGAATCCATTATGTCGAGAGCGAGTGTTTGCTCCAATCCACACCGTGTTGTATACCACGGAGGACTGAAGAAATCCTATAGTTCAAAATTAAGAAAGTATCATTATATTAGGATAAAACTATATTGTTAATCTGTTTTTGTTTTTTTAATCAAATCTCCTGAATAAAATATTTGTTATTTCACATGAACCAAAATAAGCATACATTTTTCCCTGTGTTTTAAAATTGAGCTTAGATCATAAATAAAGTAAGGGGAAAATGCAATTTAGCTTCAATAATGTTATTTTCCTTGAGAAAGAAACAAACATTAACTATATGCTGAAAAAAGGAAGTTTAAAATGAAATTCTACCTGTGATGTATCCTTGTTCATGGGCATTATCAATACTGATTAAATGAGCACCCATTTTGACACATGTGTCCTCCGCCGCTGACCAGGTGATCATTTCCTTTTTAAACATATAACAAGAATCACTGTTTGGTGTGTCCCTCCATCCATCTCCGCACTCTGATACAAATGTACCACCTGTAGTTAAACAAGCATTCCGAGAGTATTGCATTAGCAATACTAGACTCCTGCATTAGCAATACTAGACCTCCTGGTTCCCGTTAAAAATTGAAAAGGTTGGAACTCCGTCAAAAATCATTGAAGCGGAACGAAATGCAAATTCGATCTGTAACTCATCAAGATGCACTCGCATACCAAAAATCAGCTCAATATCTGCAAGCGTTCAGAACAAAAGTGCGGAAAACCAAGTGGGACAGAACTGACAGACAGACGGACAAAAAGACAGACAGATAGACGGCCGGACGGACAGACTCAGAGGATAACTATAGTCACCTCCGGCTACACCGGTAGGGGACTAACAAGCAGTAGGATAATATCTTTGGAAAGATTTCTTGTTCATTTTACTCTTGTTACATCTAGACAAAGAAATCAAAATTTTCTTCATATTTTACTCTTACCTAAATATAATTAAGTGTAAAGAAATATTGGTTTATTTCTTTCTGGAACTCTTTTTCTTTTTTTGGTTCCACTATTGAATCAGTAAGCAGTTACCAATATCATGCAAAATCAGTGATCAGTTCAGTAAGCAGTTTAAATTCATTATTAGATATATAAATAATTCACCATATTATAAAAAGAACTTTATTACCACAGAATGAAGTTTGACTGAACACCCACTTGCGTGGAGCTCGAAGTTGTAGACAAAAATGTAATTTAAAAATGTAGGGTGGCTTTGCTAACTGATAGCTAGTGTCAAAAGAAGCTAATAAAACAAATATAAGGCTTGATTATCTAAAGAGTTATTAGAGTTATATGGTTAAGAGTTATTTGATAAAAATTGCAATTGTCATCAAGGATTCAGTGACGCTTATGACGTCAGAAGATCATTGCGAATTCTCTCCGACTATTGAGGCCTCCTGAAGAGTTGAATGTTTACAGTGATTTTTATCAATCTCAAATGCAGAATTTGGCAACCGATCTCTCAAAAAAGTAGCTATGCCAAACACAAAATCAATAATACGAGTCACTTACCCTCCGAGTTATATAGTCAAATTTACTTATTTGTATATAGTGTACCTGAGTTATTTATACAGTTATATTTACTTATTTTATTTGTATATAATTTAATTCTGATTGTAACACGCCATTTGATTGGATAAAAATTTGAATTTTATTAAATTCATTCCTTAAATAGTGTACTTGAGTTATTTACACAGTTATATTTACTTATTTTAGTTGTATATAATTTAATTCTGGTTGTAACGCTGTATTTGATTGGATAAAAAAAATTACTTTATATCGTATAAAATGGGTTGCCTACATCACAATGACTTGCGTCAAAAACGTATCGATCCGCCTGACGTTACATTCGTACAAATTGAAGTCATTTTTAAGGAAAATCATCTTTTTTTCTTACACCAAATGAACAAAAATTAAATTATAAGGAATGAATTTAATAGCTACCCAATTTATACGGTATAAACTGGGTTGGAACAGTTTACGCTTTTTATAAACCGCTTCGCGGTTTATAAAGCGTAAACTGCCCCAACCCAATTTATACCGTATAAAATGGGTTGCTATTAAATTCATTCCTTAAATAGTGTACCTGAGTTACTTATATAGTTATATCTATTCATTTTATTTGTATATAGTGTACCTTGGGTTTCATCTCTCATCACATTTTTCCTCCAGTTCGATGAGCCAACTTCCATATAGCACATGGTACTGAGTGATGTTGTACATGGTGAATTAAACCATTTACCATTTCTCTCTTTTTATGTAATTACAATGGAAAACGTTTAACAGAAAATTATTTTCTCATTCTTCATCGTTACAAAGATAAAAGCAAATTCTTTAACTTTGTTCATTTTGCCTGTTTGGATCAAATATGCAGACTTGAAGTCTTAATACAAAAACGTTCTGTACCAGCATCTATGTAAGCACAGTCAAAGCTGAAATGTTCAGTATCATTCGCCCAGTTGGTATACACAGGTTGTTTATTCAGCGAGTCCCATATCCACTGGCCATTAGAATTTTCTGGAACGTATTTATTACAGGGTAAACAGGACAAAAAATAATTTTTCAAGTAATTGTTACATTAATTGTTACATTGATTAATGTCTTAATTTTTTAAATAAAATGCATCATTCGTTTTTCTGGTCTAAACTATTTGCATCCGTATATTGTTAGTGCAGCACTGAATGTAATGAAGTTGTTCTTAAAGATTTTTTTCCATCAATAATATACACACAAGTGTCTGATTTTTTTTTTTAAAAATCGTAAATATCTGAGTCTGCATCAAATGGTGGTCACCAAATATATATTAAGAGTCTGGTAAGGTAAAGATAAAAGTAAAACACTATAAAAGAGTCACCGGAAGTATTAAATAAAAGTCACTGAAAAAGTTAGCCAACATACTAGTATGCGATTATTACTAGTATTGAAAAGGAGCGCTGTTCGCAAGGCAATAAACAATTTAATGCGTAGATTGTATACAGTCAAATTTGATATTTGTTTAAAACTAAAATATTAAGGTTTGATTATAACAATCTGTCTCGATTAGCACTCCTGGTATTAAACATTGACAATGTATTACAATTTGGTCCTCTGAGAATGATAAAGAAACCACAAAATATGTTTCTTTATGCTTACAATATGTTAAATAAATGTACTCATCAATATTTCTAATAATACAGTTTTCAAAACTTTATGATTGATCAACAATGCCGAATGCGAAAACATACTTTTAAGATCAAGCCAAAGTCGGTTGTCATTCTCAATGCCTGCCTCTTGTCTTTGAACAAAGTTGTGGATAAATATTTGTCTATCGAAACTGGAACACAATAATTTCAATGTTAAAAAAAATACATAAAACCTTACTGCATATTAATAGTTTTAGATACGTACATGTATACCTTTTTTTTTATTAAAAAAAAAAAAAAGATGAAAATATGATCTGATACAAACAACAAACATAAGGTGTAGCAAAGTTTAACGCAAAAAAGTAAGATGTCATTTAAAATACATACTTTATTACGTTTTCAACAGCGAAATACTGTGATTTATTTCTTGAATAAAAGTGATATTATCTCACAGTGTGAAAGGATACCAAAGTGATATTCTCTCACAGTGTGAAAGTATATCAAAGCAAGTAAAAAATAATTTCTGGCCTGTCATGAGATAGAGACAGTAATTAAACCCTCTTGTTAGAGACTAAAACTGCCAATTTCTTCCCAAATATATTTCAAAAATCCATGTAACAATGCAATTGCTAAACTATGACGTCTCAACTGCTCATCTATGACGTCACAGCTTATGGCACTGTGTTTAGAAAAGACAGAGGCAAATGGAAAATCAAAGAAAATGTAATAAACAGAAAATATTTTGTAGTTGGATATGGAATTTATTTCATTTGTGAAAAGAACATTTTGATATTTTCACTCGTGCATTGCACTCGTGAAAATATCAAAAAATCCTGTCCCACTCGTGAAATAAATTCCATATCCAACCACAAAACATTGGATATCCTCTATTTATTTTTCAAGAACGTAAGTTCAGATAATTCGTTTAGAAGCTTGAAACAATGAGATTTATTTAAAAAAATTAAAAATATTTACTCTTGAATATCTAGTAGAGTCGAGTCCAAATTTTGGCAATATTCCTTGGCATTATACCACGAGGTCTGCAAAGTGTTGATATACCTGTAGCAGTAGCGCTGATGGAATATCCATCCAGATGGACACGTTCCTATAACATATGTATATGCACTATTACATGTAAATTCATATATGACATACATTCCGAAGCTTCATAAAAATCCTTACAAAGATACATTGCTGGGTCCAGCAAATGCTCTACCAGGCCCTTATCTTTACTCCTTACAAAATATTAACTGCTGTAAAGGATAAACTTCAGTCGTTCTGTGCTACATGTACATCTTACTCTATAAGTGGTGTAAGTCAGATGTGGATCCTCAAAAACTCCAAAGAACTTTTAGAAACTTTTTCAAAAGTTTATCATTTATGTAGTCTTCGGAGACCACTTTTTCCTACAAACTTTTGGAATTCCGATGGGCACTAATTGTACTCATTTATTAGCTGACCTTTTTTTTATATTCTGAAGAATATTCTTCAAAAATTTCTACATGAGAATAGGAAAACACTAGCTGTGGCTCTCAATTCGACATTCAGATATATCGACGCTGTTTTTTCAATTAACAATAGTTATTTTCATTCGTATGTCGACTCTATATATCCCAGTGAACTTGAAATAAAACACAACATCTGTTTCACATTTAGATGTTTTACTGACTATAGACGATAAAGTCCAATTAACAACTAAATTGTATGACAAACGAGATGACTTTAGCTTTCCAATCGTCAACTTTCTTATTTATATAGTAATACTAGTATTCCACTGTCGCCTGATTATAGTGTTTATGTCTCCCAACTTATTCGCTACTGAAGGACTTGCTCTGAGTATGATCAATTTTTAAAGCGAGGCAGACTACTCACTGATAAGTTGATGTTACAGGGATTTCAACAGCCTCGTTTAAAGTCAGCATTTCGTAACCTTTATAACGAACTTGTTATCAAATATAACCTATCATTGGGTCGTATTTTGGCTGACTTGTTTCATTACAATTGTTAGGCCTTTGTTTTTATACTGAATTGACTACGGATAGTTCCGTCTACATGATCAATACATAAGGCTCACTTCTGGTGTGACCGGTCAACAGGGGATGCTTACTCCTCCTAGAGACCTGATCGCACCTCTGGAATTTCCAGGGGTCCGTTTTTATGCCCTCTTCACATATTTGTATTGTTTATGGATTTTTGAGATCGATCATTGTTCGTTATCTTTACCTTTTACATATTGATGGTAGTCAGTGATTTATAATTAACTGGAAGAGTATTTGTGCAGTACTTTAATAAATAGTTATACAATGTCTTACGCTGTTGATATTAGAACAATATTTTAACTTATTCATAATTCAATTTCTATATGTATGAAAAAAGAAAATATAAATATATATGTTACCCTCAGGTCTTGAACAAGCGAAAAAGTTTTCCACTTTGCAGTCCTGAGTGACCCAGTTCAAGATGCTTTTCTTATCTTTAACAACAATGCAGCTCTTGTTTGTTGGACTACAGAACAAGAAAAATAAGTTCCACATGGCAACTTTAAAAGTATGTACAAAGAAAAATACGTTTCAAGCAATTTTCAGAAACTGGATGACAAACTAAGCCTATATTCTGTAGAAAAGTGAAAGTTCCATGTATATTTGTTGCATAATCACCCAACCTTATGGATGCTCCTATACTCCAGTAAACCTTTGTTAAGTTCACCTTGTTGTATAGTTGGTCAAACCAAACCTGTGATGAAAAGAAAGATAAAACACCTCAAAACTGTAAAGCTGGGATGATGAGACTGTTTAACATGTATTAGATGAGATAACTGTAAAGCTGGGATGATGAGACTGTTTAACATGTATTAGATGAGATAACTTGTATAACTAATGGTAAACAGCTTACGACATTTGCATTGAACAGGACATAACTGTACAAAAATGTTAAATGAAATATTACGCCTTTTGTAGTGTTTGTTATTCTGACAAAATAGTCTAACAGAAACTCTTCCACATGCTCTCAATATCATATTTTCACAAATGTATCATATTTTTACAAATGTTTTCCTATTAAATTGTACAAATCTTACCCCTTCATATGATGATATCCCTGTCCACAAGTCTGCCTCCACAGCAGACGATATATTTGTCAGCGCTTGCTGAATGTTTTCCTCTGTCACAACGGGTAATTCAGCATCCATAAATCGACATATATTTCTGAATATTTGACAAATTTGTAATTCTGTGAGGTAACATCAAATCTGTCAATCATTATTCATGCTTAATGGGCAATTTGATATTGAATTAAACAAGCATTCTGAGAGTATTGCATTAGCAATACAAGTCCCCTACCGGCAAGTGTAATCTGGTTCCCGTTAAGAATTGAAAATGCCAAAATTCCGTCAAAAATTAGTGAAGCGGGACGAAATGCAAACTTGATCTATAACTAATCAAGGTAAAGCCACATACCAAAAATCAGCTCAATATCTACGAGCGTTTAGAAGAAAATTGCGGAAAACCCGTAAAAATTGAAAAGGCCGTAATTCCATCAAAAATCAATGAAGCGGAACGAAATACAAACTTGAAAAGACCGTAATTCCATCAAAAATCAATGAAGCAGAACGAAATACAAACTTGATCTGTAACTCATCAAGATACACTCACATACCAAAAATCAGCTCAATATCTGCAAGCGTTTAGGAAACAAGTGGGACAGACTGACAGACAGACAGAGGGACAGAGAGACAGACAGACAGACAGACGGACGGACAGACTCAGAGGAAACCTATAGTCCCCTCCGGTTTCACCGGTAGGGGACTAATAATATAACATAACATACACAATATAAATAATACAACATATTTTACGATGTTAACAACATTAACAACAATATTCTTTATTTTGATGTTTGATAATACAATTTAACAAGAAATAATTTATAAGATAAGGAGGTTCTTGCTCAAGCGATTTTAATAGTAAAATATCACAGTAGTCTTAGTATACAATATTTTATATTTAACATTGATCCCAAAATTAGTGAGAAAGTTGTTTCATGAATTTAGTGAAAAATTGCAATATGCAATGTATTTGCAATCGAATAAAAACTTACACAGCATCTTCCCAAGGTAGGCTGGTATCGAAAACTTTATAGCAACGAGTTCCATAGTGATTCCAGAAATTTGAAACATCGCACAGATCCGTTTTCACTAAAAATGTATTACATTATTAGTATAATAACCATACAGTGAAAGAGAATAACGTAAAATATTACCAAATGATATAACTAAGTATAAATAATGTATTCTTAATTTTATTCCATAGGTAAATATAATGAGAACAAAATCTCACAGTTTATTGCACACAAGGGACCAATATATGCTGAGGAACATTGACAGGTAAAGCTTTTCTCGCTCTCTATACACGTCCCCCCATTTTTACAAGGCGAGGAATTGCAGGATGACCAAGGAACTGTTGGATAAATCAATAAAAAACATTCTTTCTCATGATATATAAATTCAAAACGGAATTTACAATAGGTATAACTGTGAAATATAAGAATGATCACAGTCTTTGAAAGAATGCATACCTCTTTCTTTGCAGGTTTCCCCAGTCCAGCCTTGTCGACATGTGCAGATATATGTTCCTGTTTTGTTACTGTTGCATTCTCCGCCATTTTGACATGGCGTGGAGGAACATGGATCGAATTTGTCACCTTAAACATATAAGAACTATCCCATATATTTTTATTTACTTTGTGGGTGTTAGTCAATCCTATGCTTAAAAGATGGAGCATATTTAGTCCCTTTGTGCGTACTTAATTGTCAGATCAAGGAGTGAACCTTTAGTCTGAAAAGTGTTAGATATTATATACTTTTAAAAGAAGGCAAATTCATGTTAGTTTTCATGCAAGATTGTCAGAAGCAAAGAAGAACAAATTACAAAAATGCATTTCTCAAATACAGGTGAGGTTTAAATAATTTTGGCAGGGCCTTTATAATCAGAAAAAGTAAGTGGTACAATTTAATATAGAAAGCTTTCAAAGACTAACTCCAGTTAAAAAGACGACAAACTACATGTATACAGTACTCTGAAAAATATCTAAAAGTCGGTATTTCGCTCTGTTTCATTGTGTATACATGTATTTGCAAAAGTAACGAAGAACATTTTTAAATATTGGTATAATTTGGATGTTTTTGACCCCATTTTGTCAGACCTAATAAAAGAGGAGAGGATTGATCCCATGAAATGTGTTCTCTTCTACTTAGTCGTAAATGCAATTATATCATATTCGTTGAAATTTTGGAAATGTTCCAAAATTTGCAAGTGACAAACGATGTACACTGGGCTTAGTAAGGCAGTAGACAACTGACAGAAACAGACAGCAAAACGTCACCCAAGATTTAAAAAGTATCAGTTTAAATAATATGTTTTACGGTGTGACCGTTGGGGCGAGCGCAGTTGTACCATCAAAAAGCTATAGCAGCTTGCACTTCTAACGTTGATCCGCCTCTTCAAACGTCAAACCGCACGAGACACAGTCTAGACTGTGACGTCACAAGATCGGAATTTACGGAGACAGCCGAGCGTCTGGTTGAACGAGAATAATGATCTTGTGCAATAATAAATGAAATACGTCTTAAAGTAGATGTAATTATTTTTTGTTTCTTTTAAGCTCTCTGCAAAGAAAGAAAAGTAAACGTATCTCTCGGTAATGAATAATTATTCTTGGTCTTTTGTATGTTTTGTAAGAATTTCGCATGGAACCCTGGTAGCGAAGGAATTCCGGAAATGTTGCACCAGAAAATTTTGCCTGACGTATGTACAGATTTCATTCCGAATTTTCTCTGTTCTTACACGTTAGTCTATTGAGCTCGCTGTTAATATATAAATTTAAAAAAATCTGATTTGAAATAATTTGTAGAAATTAAGCGGACAGAAGAATGTATGGAAATAAATATTTACTGCATGACTGAATGCCGCAACTTTCCCACCGCTTATCTTTGTCCATTGTGTAGCACCATGGTCCCGCTGATTCGTCGTCAGGATTACGACAGTAGTTCTCCTCAGTATATAGCCAGCCAAACCTGTGTTTGTGAGGAACCTGTGACCCCCAGGGCTGACAAATACGACCTGAGATAGTCACGTTCACTTTGCCAATATAAAATCGCCCTAGTGTATTCCTATAGCAGTCATCTGAAAAAGACGGTTTAATTATTGTATGCTATCTATTCAATCTAGAAAAAATGCATTGATATCACGAAATAAAACAATTCATCCTCCTATTCAGAGTATTCCATGTTGAATTATTTGTCATTTATGTTATAACTAATACCAAACTGACAGGAAGTTAAAATGTCAGAGTTTGAATCGATTTTATTGATATCTAAGGAAATTTATGCGTGACATTTAGAAATCAGAGTTAAAACATATTTGGTTAATTCGAATGCTAAAACACGTTATTTCAGTTATTTAGTATGAAAAAGGATCTTAAGCATGCATAAATATAATTTTTGGTTGGAAACCACAGTAATGCAGATGGCTTTGGCAGATTAACTGAAATTGAGATCACACTGTAAACCAACTAACATCAGCAACAACTTTAATTATAGATTGATCAATTTGAAATCCATATACAGCTATTAATTTTTGTTACCTAGGATAAAACATTATATATAAATACACAATTTAATGGAACACAGCGAGAAGTAATTGGGATTAAAAGAAAGCCGTGAAATCCGCCGATAAAAGTGTGGAAAACCACGTGGGACAGACTGACAGACGGAGGGATAGACAGGCGGACGGACAGACGAGGAGGAAACCTGAGTATAGTCCCCTCCGGTTTCACCGGTAGGGGACTAATAAAAGACATGGTATGCCATCCTGCGATTTTATAGGTTTTACTTTATGCAACAGAATAACTATCTATAGCTAAATACATATTAAAGGTATATTCTCATCATAGCATAAAAATTGAAAACATACCTGTCTGGACCAGAAGAAACCATTTTGCTTGATTTTCCGTGTCTCCTTCACATGCATACCAGCCGATGTCTTGCAATTTTAGGCGCTCGATGAATAGTCTACAAACAAAAGAAATAAAGAAAACCATTTCATTTACTCAAAACATTCTGACCTTGTTTAATACAAAAGCGATTTCAAAATCTACAGAATTTATTATTTGTTTGCATTCTTCAAACCAAACTTATTTTCTCTTTGACTTACTTTCCACCTTGTTCAGTCTGTGATATAGTGAGGCGCCTATCTTCCTTTAAAATTTCTTTTTCATTTTTAAACCATTTGTAATTAGTAAAATTATTTCCTGTTAGGTTACAGACAAATATTGCGCTTTCACCCTCCTGCTTGGTCACATTATTCCTCGTGATGTTTTGAGAAGTCACTCCTTCAGCTACCAAAAAAAATATGATTCAATGGTTGCTTTAATTTTTTTCCTGAAAAGTAGTGCTTCTGTGGTAACATATAATTTAAAAAAAAATACCTATAAGATTTGCTACATACAAGTGTCCTTTTTAATCTCCTTTTCTTAAGTGAAAAACTGCTGCAACAATTTTTAAGCCAACGCCTATATTTTAGCATGTTTCAAAATTAATCAAAATTAAGATTAATTGTCAAGTCAGTCTGTTCCAATCTAAGTTTTGCAATAAATCTTAAACCACATATTAAATATCTAGGCTTTCAAACTAAATTCGATCGGTGAAATATATTTCCCCCAAGCTTTCTGCTTGGAAACCATCATTAGAATTCGAGTGTGCTTTTATACAGTGGCAAATAAAATGAGAAGGGGTACTTAGATTACAAAAATGGCTGCCATTTCAGATAGGTATCCATTACTATTTGTTGATTTTTGCTAGCTAGGTCCCCAACTCGCTTGATGACAAAAGCTTATGAATTAATATTATAAATTTTCGTAGACCTTTGAAGAATTATGCCCTAATAGTATGTATGGAAGCTCCCATGTAGGACAGAACATAAGGTGTTACACACAAATTTAAAGGTTATAGAAATAAAAGAACTGCTCAATTCCTTATTTTCTTCAGTTGTTATCTTTTTATCATTTTCCGTTATTACCACGGTAACGTAGTGGTAGGACGTTTGCTCCGTGATCGGGAGGCCGGAGTTCGATCCTAAGACGTAAACAAAGATAGTGACAGGTAGTGACTGTTTCTTCGCTAAGCGCCCGGCATTAGAAGTGAAAGTCACAGATCTTTCGGATGAGACCTTAAAAACTGAGGCCCCGTGTCACAGTAGGCGTTGGCATGATCAAGAACCATCACTGCTCAATGGCCCTAATGCCGAGTGTAGTTCTAAATTTGAAGCCCTTCATATGGTGACGTCTCTATATGATTGCAAAATTCTCGAATTGGACGTAAAACGATATACAATCAATCAATCAGAACACTAAAAGCACACTAGCCTGACTATCAATTAGATGCTTTTTTAAAGATTCTTTTATATAAACACAAATAGTATTTCTGAAAACACGCATTTAAAGATTACTACAAATGCATAGTATTGCGGTCATACTGAATACAGTTAATAAAACAATCGTCAAATCTACGCCGCAAATTTCAGTTTCTGCAAAAATAAGATATTCAGAAATCTAGAAGTAATAAAATCTGAAAATACATTTATATAAACAAACGTATTATTTCTGTTATTAAATTCTTTGAGTCTATCTTCGCTAGTCTTTCTGACCCTGCGATTAATAACTTATAGTATCGTGTTTCTAATTGCAGGCTCTCAATGTCCGGAAGCAGAAAATCTTAAAGCTTGGAGAGTTTCTTCATCAATTTAAGAAGAAAATACAGTCGTAAGAGATATAACATGATATTTACGTTAAATTGAACGACAGCTGTTATATGTATTGCCTGAAAACAAGAATGAAATGCCTTCAAAGTTGATGATTGCGAGTAGCAAAAAGAATATAAAGAGAAGTATAGAGGCAGAAAATGAATATGGTTCAAATTAAGACATTTCACTGAAATGTATATCAATATATTCTTTAAAAATGTATAAGGAAGAGAAGACTATGTACATTTTTGTTACTGACATCTTAACTGTGAAGTACTTACCTTTAGCGTCCTTTAAATACAACATGATGATAATGAAAATAAATGTTTCCATGTTGATGATCGTAATGTCCTTTGAAATAAATCTTTTCGATTCTTTCTTTTATTGCAAATTGCAATAAAAGATAAAGTGGATCATTCTAGACTTCGTCAAATTGGAATGTACTTTGAACATTTCTAATTGATGTAGAGCACTTCTCAGAACACTTTCATGGACTACGTCACACAAGCACTTCTTTATTACATATCTTGTCGATGGTTCTTAACCGAATTCAGTTTGAATTCATTTGTTTTGTCTTGTTTGAAATTTAATAACTAATGTGGAGCATAAGTACTTAAAATAAAGAAAACTTAAAACCTGTGGTGTCGGTTTTCATTCTCTTTAGTCCTTAGAAATAAAAATACTTCTTCACACTCTGTAAAAACATAAAATATATCTTAATTGTTTGGTAATAAATAGTAGTAGTTCAGAATAATATTTCAGCAGTCTCAATTATCCCCCCCCCCCCCCCGAATTCGAATTCTGTTTTAAAATTGACAATTATTGTAATTTCATATTTTAAACTTTAAAAAAAAATTGTCTTTTCAATCATATTAAAATAATAATAATCACTTTGCTAAATAAAATTGTGAATCGAATTGTTACGACAGATGACATTTTTCGTTGGTAACAATTAAAGCCTAAGAACGAATGTGATATCACTAATTTTTGTAGGTGTTACATTTTCGATGTTTTCGAGGTATTAATATATTTAAACAGTTGTAGGGGATGTTTAGTTGTAAAAGTAGCGAATGAATATGTTGAATAACATTGAGGTGGTCTTTTTAACAGTTTGTTGAAGAATATGGAGAAATAGCATTCAAACCTTAGTCACCTTTTTGTTCACAAGATATTGTCATTTTTTCCATTTACAGAACTTTGTTTTGATGTCCTTTCCATTCTTTTTCTGAAAGGAGAGGTACAGGCCACAGGAATTAACATGAGGGCGTGGTTTATATAATAAATTATAAGACAACGTTCACATTAGAAACTTCAATCTAACTTCAATTTTTGGTTTTATATCAGCTGAAATGAGAGTTACAATAATAGATAATAATAAAAAAAACCATGTAATTTGTCTTTTTAATTATATACCAGACCGTATTCTATGCTTGCAAGCACATCTGCATTGTTCATTTGGTATTTTGACATTATTTTCAAAGGTTCTACGTTATTTGCCAAATATACCAATTAAACTATAGGAAGAAGTCATTAAGATATCTGCAGATTATTTCCATCTGGAGAATATCTGCTTGTGGAAAATACTCGAGAATATCTGCTTGTGGAAAATACTCGAGATATTTGTCCTCAGCTTCAATTAAGTCAATTATGACGAGAAAGATAAACCTTTCCAACTAATTAAAGTCCGGGTATTTCAATATAGATGATGAACCCCCATTTAATAGCGAATTCAGGGAATTTTCGAAATACATAGAATTCACAACAATCTGAAAGGTAGAAATACCTTGATTATTAATTTAGGACGTGAATTAAAATAAGTTGTGTTGAGGCAAAAAAAAAATCATTTGGTTTGTTCTATGAAGTGAAATTTTATTTATTTGTATGAATTGAATACGTGTCCTTGTTAAGAGTGACTGATTTTTCCTTTTTAAAAGCATAATACAATAATATTTCATATACATTTTAGACAATATCAGTGAAATTGTACTCGAAAGACTTGTAACTCCATAGTAATCATACATGTGTATATACATGTGTATATTTTATTCTCTTAATCTCTCTGCATTGTAGAATTCAAAGAGCTTAGATAACTTTTCGAAAATTGTGTTCAGTAATTATTATACATATATAAATAATTGAGAAAGTACTTTGGAATGTTTGTAAATGTAATAATAGTACCCTGAACGACTGAAATTTCATTCAAAATTCTTAGTAGCTAAAGAGTTGTAGTGTGTTACAATTTCAGAATACTGGGTGAAGTCACCCAATCCGATAATTAGGTTGTGATGGCATGCAAGATGTGAAAATACATTGCAAGGATGAATCTGGGGTAGGAGAGTCAAGACCCTCTCCCTTAATGGATTTCAGTGTTAAATCAACAGGACTTTAGCAACACCGTTCTCCTTCTCTTAGATAAAAGATACATAGTTCACGGGTCATCCCTCCCTCCACACACACACACCATAACTACTTTACTGAAAGTGGATTTTAATCCCCCACTTTCTTTGAAAACAGTGGGGGAAATTAATTTGGACCTGTCTTTCCGTCGGTCGTCTGTCTGTATTTAACACTTTCGTTTCCGGGTGATATCTCAAGAAGCCTTTGAGCTTTTGCAATTAAGTTTCCCTTTGGCTTAAAGAGGACACCTATTGATTTTGAGGTCAAAGGTCAAGGTAATAAATTCGTATATTCAGGTTGTATGTAACACTTTCGTTTCCGGGCGATATCTCAAGAAGCTTTTGAGCTTTTGCAATGAAATTTTATACCACAACTCCCTATGGCCCCGCCCGCCTCTTTCAAAGTCCCCGCCCTTTTTAATTTAATTTTGGTCAATTTTGTTGCCATTGATCACGGACAAATTTTTGAGGTACTCCTCGTTTGCATTAAAAGTCGCGTGGCACTTTTTTTAGCACAAGAACATATGGAGAGTTATTACATATGGTTCAAAGGTTCTCATAAAATCATTATCACAGTGTGATAAATGTTTTATATAAAAAGAATCTTCTGCACACCTTTTGAAGAATAAGCAATCAAATCTGTATATCCATATTGGCATTAACAATTGGAAATTTTGGACCTTTCAATAATAAAAAAAGAGAAAATAAAATCCGCTTACCCGCCCCTATTTTTAAGCAAAATGTGGCCTTAATGCCAAAAGCTAAAAGGTCAATGTTGACCTTTTTTCTTTCTCCATCGCAAAATTTTCCCATTTCTTCCATCCTCTACCAGGCGCTGATCCAGGATTTTTTTCCAGGGTATGAGGTTCCGCTCCAGTCAAGTAATTTCCAACCCAGAAATTTCTTGACAGGCAAAATGAATAAATAAATAAATAAATAGATAAATAAATAAAAAATTTAAATAAATTTAATTCCTTTCCCAACCAGGAAAAAAACTACTTCTTATTGGTCCACGTTTTCTAGGGGGCAGGGGTGAGGGAGATGTCCAAAGTCATTTTTTATTTGCTTCAATATATACATTTAATAATAACTAATAAATTCGGGGGGGGGGGGGGGGGTCACACCCCCTCGCCCCCGCTCTAGATCCGCACATGCTCTTCTTTTTTCCTTAAGCGGGGGACACTTCTCTGAATTAGCTTGTTTAGTGTATGGCAATTTTCTTTTTCCGTTTGGGTGTCAGAAAATATTTTAAGTAGATCTGTCGTTGTATCATGACACTACCTGGTACGTTGCGAACGAGACATAAGATACAGAACATTTTTCAATGGACGTCTCATTTAAGGAATGTTTTCAAGATTTTTGTGATTTATTGGTGTGTAAATCACACAGACTTGTCACGTAGGCATATTTCATGAAATTCCTTATATTTACATTTTACATATTCAAAAGCACTAAAAGTATACTCAATGTTTGAATTATTCGCTGCCCTATATCGTTACATTATTATTTACGTCTCTATAGCTCATTGTGACGTCACTTTAGCGCGTGCATATTTCTACGCGTGAGTATACACGAAAATGGCATTCAAATCAGTTTCACAGTTGGCTTAGTAGAAAAACACAGCAAATGTTAATATATGGAAATGAACAATTCACGTACGGATGTAGAATATTTTCAAAGGGGTGTGTGGGACACCAACTCAAAACCAGAAGTCTCTATCGGGACTGGCTCTACTAGATTGTACTTATGACAAAGGAAGAGAAAAGTATCACTTCGACTTGAAACTTTGCAACATCAAAAAATAGAATACTGATCCTTGGTTTACTCTCTTTTTTGGCATGATTCAATGCAACCAGACTAAAACTGTAGGATGAGTAGCTTTTTAAAAGAAAATTACAGAAATTTCGATTTTAGTTACCATGGCAATATCAAAATCAAAAACGATAAAGACAATTATTGATCTCAGTGTAGTCTACTTGCCTGCCACATCACATTAAAATCTGGCCAAACTGTAAGAGTAATATTTTGAAAGTATTTCACAGAAATTTCTATTTTTAGTAACCATAGCAACACCGTTCATCAAAAACCGACATGTTCTATCAAGCCTCTTTCTTTACTCCTCACTAATATATTAATTCACAGCTTTGAAGGAGAAACTTCAGGATTACTGTACAACATTATATTCGAGAAGTGATGTATATCAGATGTGGATACTTAAAAAATCCAAGGAACGTTTAGAAAAGATCTGAAGTTACAAAATTTTAACGAAATCAATAACATCAAAACGTACGACTTTTCAACATTTTATACCCATTCACCACAATAAATTTAAATTTAAGTCCAGGCTTTTTGACATCATAGACAGCCGCTTTTTCAATAAAAATGGAACTCGTAAATATACTTACCTTGTCATTGGTCATTTGCGAAATTATTTTGTTAAAAAATCATTCTGATTATACACACAAGTACTCTGAAGTTGATATTAAAAAGATGATTGTTTCTGATCGACAATATCTATGCAGTTTTTAGAGATCAGGTCTTTCAAAAATCTGTTTCCATGGGTACCAAATGCGCCCCCTTATTAGCAGACCTATTTTTGTATTCATGTGAAGCAGAATTTATTCAAAAACTTCTACATGAGAAGTTAACACATGCCTGGCCGTCAACTCGACATTTGGATATATCAACGACGTATTATCAATAAACAATAGTTACTTCCCTTCAAATGTCTACTCGGTATATCCCAGTGAGATAAAACAGAGTCTGTTGTATATTTGGATATTTTACTAGAAAAAAGACCTTAATGGTAACCTGACAACAAAGTTTTATGATCAACGTAATGACTTCAATTTTTCAATTGTCAACTTCCCTTATTTATGTAATAAAACTTATCACCTGCATATGGGTTGTTGTCTCCCTGTTGATTCGATACGCAAGGGCACTCTCTACGTA